TGGGGATTGAGCCTACCTCAAACTGCTGATGTCCACTGGGATGTGCCAGCTGTGATGTGAGTTCCCTTTGTCTCGCCTCCCTGTTCTTCTTCCATTGGGAGGACATTGCCTTAGAAGATGTCTGTCTCCTTGGTGGATCCAGAAATCCCCCTTCTCCCCTGAAGAGCAGGAAGGTGTCAGATGAGGCTGTGAGTAACTGGGCCCCACACTGAGCTAGGACTCATTAATCACTCCGAAGAGAAGCCCAGGTATTTAGGGGAGCTGTAAAAGTCCCTCATCTGCATGATTAGCTCTTTCCCAGCTGATTACAGAAGAAGGACACTCCTTCAGCGGCTCCAGTGTTTTCAATGATTCCTTAAATGTGAGTAGATTACCCCAAAAACTCTGGGCAAACAGAGCCAACCCTTTGTGCCACCCTCCCTTCAGTGGATTAGAGAATCCTGTTTCTGGATGCAGAGGGGTTGGATGGGAGGATGCCAAAATATCCATGGGCACACAGCTCCTGTGAAGGGCTCATCCCTGGCACATGGAGGAGGGAAAGGTTAAGTGCGAGTGGTCTGCTTTGAGCTCTGGGGCAGCAGCACAAGAGGGACGTGGAGCTGTTGGAGCGAGTGCAGAGGAGGCCATGGAGATGCTGCGAGGGCTGGAGCAGCTCTGCTCTGGAGCCAGGCTGAGAGAGCTGGGCTGGGGCAGCCTGGAGAAGAGAAGGCTCCTGAAGGGGAGACCTTAGAGCAGCTCCAGTGCCTAAAGGGGCTGCAGGAAAGCTGGAGAGGGGCTTGGGACAAGGGCCTGTAGGGACAGGCCAAGGGGAATGGCTTGAACCTGCCCGAGGGGAGACTGAGCTGAGCTCTGAGGCAGAAGCTCTTCCCTGTGAGGGTGCAGAGGCGCTGGCACAGGGTGCCCAGAGAAGCTGTGGCTGCCCCATCCCTGGCAGTGTTCAAGGCCAGGTTGGACACAGGGGCTTGGAGCAAGCTGCTCTAGGGGAAAGTGTCTCTGCCTGTGGCAGGGGTTGGAGCTGGAGGTGCTTTAAGGTCCCTTCCAACCCAGAGCAGTCTGTGAAGGAGCTCTGGGGTGACATTTCCCACCACCCCAACTGTTTTCTTCATCTACCAAGACTGACATCACCACCCAGGCATCTGCTTCATTCTTTAACAGCCCCATTCATGAACAATCTTTCTCCAGCCCAAAGTACATGATCCTATTTTCACCCTTGTTGCCATCCCTCGTGGAAAGGGGTCTTAAAGGAGCTATTCCATCTCGGAGTGCACGATCAGGCAGCCAGTCCCTGCACTGCCAAGCCAAATAGATGGGGTTTGTGGAGAGACAGGGAGGGAGGACAAGTATGTTCCTGAGGTTTTAATAACCCCTTCTCCTGTCTGAACCATCACAAATCCCAGTGGAAGGGCAGGCATTTTCCAGATGGTAGGAAATAAGCTCTGGGACACTTCCATGCTGAGAACTCATTAGTCCTGCTGGCTCTGCTCCAAGCTCGATGGCAGTCTATGTAAACTGGATTTGGTCCTGCCCTTTTCCTATCATCTGTTCCCATGAAGGCTCCAGCCCCATCTTACATGGACAAGCTGCCCAGCTAGCTATTGATTTGATTATGTGTGACCTTTGCCTCTTGGAGAGGTTGGAGCTCAGACAAGTACCTTCCTGTAAGCCTCCTGTATCTGAGCATCTCAGCTGCCTTCACACCACCCATCTGCCCACCTCTCGTTTGATTCCCATGTGGAGTCTGGGGAATGCTGAGGTATTTGGCTGGCTTTCAGCTTGCAAAGACAGAGCACTGGACAGAAAAAGTGTGTATGTATATAAGGGATTTAAGCCCAGGGTTACTACTGTGCTTTGCATGGGCTGCTGTGGTGTTCTCTGTCCTACCACACAGCCCATGCTCCCCACAACCCTGGGTTGTGCCAGGCAGTATCTGCACTTGGTGGCTGTCATTGCCACCCAGCACAGATGCTGGGGCCTCCAGAGCAATCACAAGGCTCCAGATCACTCCCGTTCTCTGCTCTGAGACTCCAACAGCCATTAGCTGAGTGACAGGAAAGCACTGGGAGCAGTATCGGGTCCCAGTAGGGCTCTGCTGCTGTAGGTGCTTCTGGCTGCTGTAGGAACCTGGCTCAGTAGGCAGGGTGCTCCTCCTTGTGTGGCTGCAGGGTGACACTCAGCCAAGGTTGTGATCCGGAGTAAAAGTTTCTCTGCAGGTTATTTCTTCCTAAACCCTCATAGCTTTTCCATAGCACAAAGTTCACCCAGCTTGTGGCTGTCTCGAAGCCCTTTAAGGGCTCTTTGAATGAGACTCAGCTCAACATTGATGTTTCTACAACTCAGGTGTGTAAAAAGTGCCCCACCTCCTACAGGGGGTGACCCGACTGCCCGGTGTTTTAGGATGTGGGAAGCACGGTATGAAAACTTCTATGCTGGTTGAGCTCATCCATGGCACCAAGATGATCCACGCACCCCATAAGCCAAGCTGTGGGAGCAGGCTGCCTTCTAGGATGATAAAAGAAAGCCCAGGACAAGCAAAGCTGTTTCAAAAGCTGTGAATTTACTTTCCCCACTGTGATCTCTATTGATGCGAAGGGTTAACCGATGTATGGGGGGGTAGGGTTAAGCCGCTTGCTTAACAATGTTACTGCTCGTTCATGGTTATCGAACTCGCCGTGTGTGCCAGAGCAAGGTGTAAGGACATGGCTGTTGTTAAGAGGTAGGGACCATAACTTGGTTCCCGTCCTTTGGACACCCAGGCAGGCTGAAATAGGCTCTGTGCTTTGGACGATAACCAAGCCTCCAGGGAGCATCAGTAACCACTAAGGGTGAAAAGTTCAGGCTTGAGGAAGACTCATTTACTTCATCTTGAGACCCTCGCCCACGACCACCAGGAGGCACTGCGCAGGCGCAAAGGACCTTTTAGCTCATTATACTATGAAGCAGGGATAGGACATGAATATGTATAGGCGTGTTGTGCAACCTCATGCATATGTATAGCTTTAGAGGATAAATGTAGGGGAAAACAACACTGAGGTGTGCATGCCTTTGGAGGAGCTATCCCCCATGTGCCTCAGTGCTGAATGAAGCATACCTACTTTACAACTTTAGTGAGTTGTGGAGTCTATGCACATACCATTATTTCCCAAATGTTTCCAGCAAAATTGTATAGATTTTTTTCCCCATCAGTTCTGAAATGGTATTTTTTTCCTCAGGAAACCCATTACTTCACCATTTCAAACAGACCCTCACCCCAGAGGATGGCTGTGATTCCCAGTATAAATGATCAGTGTTACTCGTCCTCCCAGACAAAACCCAGGAAGACCAGGGCTGGCCTGTGACTAAAACAGCCGATGAGAAGCCAGGTTTGCAGACTGGCAGCACGGTGCCATTGAGCAGCCCCCCCATCGTGGACCGAGCCCGTGTTGGGGCTCTGTAGCTGGATACCAGTGCCCTGAAGATTATTTTTCTGACCACCCTGGTCCGTAACACACAGATGGAGGTGAACGCGCTCCTGCCCCTGCTGTGGGAGAGTGAGGAAGAAGAGGAAGGAGGAGGCTGTGTGAGAGGGATGCGCTGCCTCCAGCCGCAACAGCCCCCGGGGTGCCCGCTGAGGTCGCCTATGAGGCGGACTACAAATCCCAAGATGCTTTGCTGCTCCACGGCCGCTGCGGGTGAGCGCTGCAAGAGGAACTACAACTCCCATCCTGCACCGCTACGCCAGCCGCCTTTCTATTGGCTGGCTGGCGCCGGTCGCCCGCCCCCTGTCTCCACGGCAACGGGAGAGCAACAAGCTGCCGGCGGCCTGCAGGGAGCGGTGATGGAGTGGTCGTTCGGGGCGAAGCATCAATAGAGCAGCGCCCTCCGCGCCCTCATTACAGCTCATGGCTGGGGGTAAAGAGAAACGAGGAGGCAACAGCCTCGACGAGCGGCTTCATCCTCCTCCTCCTCCTCAGCCACCGCAGCCCCAGCAGGCCCAGGACAGACCCAGCCTGCCTCAGCAAGAGGACAAGCAGGAGGAGGATGGAAGGGAAGAGGAGCCACAGCACACAGAGGTTCAGCTCAGTGCTTCCCAGCTGTTAGAGGAGGGCTGTGCTTGTGAGGGAACAACCCTTTCCCCCCTCATCGCTCAGTGTTGTTATGGGGGAAAGAAGGGGAAGTTGGTGTGAGCACCAGGTAGTGATTTCTCATTTCCCCAAAGAGGGGAAAGGTTGGTTTGGTTTCTTCCCCTCACCTCTGATTTCTGCCTTTTTTAGGGTTTATTTTATTCCCACAGTATCCAGAATACCTCTGGATTCCCCCTTTCCTCTTTTGCTATATAAAGACTAAGGATAAACTGGCATATGAATGGCCAGATTAAACGCCTTTCTTGCTTATACACCCAGTCCTGAGACTGAAGTGCATCTTTCTCTCTGCTCTGCTGGGCTTAACAGTGTCCACTGCCCCAGCATTAAGACCTTGTATATCTGGATGTGTAGTCTCCATTGCTAGAACATGTAGGTGCTACAGTTCAGATGACTACCATTTGAAGCACTCTTTATCGTGGTCCCTGGGTTAGCAATTGTGCGACTTCTCCAAGCTTGCAGGGATTTCACAACCCATTGGCTTATTTTCTTGTTAAACCTACGCAGTGGTTCATTAGTGCCATCTGTCAAGTGCCCTCCCTGCAAAGGCTGCTCTCTGAAGAGCAGCGCTAGCTGCTCACGCTGAACCAATTCAAACGGCTTCCAGTAACGTGCATATCGGGGTGCAGCGCTGGGGTTATGTTAGAGCCGATTTGCTGAGATGTTAACATCCATGAGCAATGTGAGTTTCATGGCTCAGTATCTCTGGAAACGGCTCCTCTTTAGAGCTGTGCATTTAAATCAGGAGGTAAAAATAACCCAGCAGAAACCTGTTGAACCTGTTCAAATGTATGGAGGCAGGACACGACATGTTTCTGTTTATCTGTCTTGAGGCTGTGTTAAACATTCTGTAGTGCCTTAGTAGGGTGATGGAGCCCTGAAAGCAGTGCTAGAGGACTTCGTTATGAAACTCCACTCCCAGCTGCAACCCAAACAGCCCCCTTGTGGGGAATTTCATTTCCTAAATCCCCCCTTAATCCATTCCTTTCCCATTTCTGCTGCTCTACAGGGTCAGTTTGAGGGAGTGTTGGATGAAGACACCGTGGCTGAGGGACTCCATGAGCTGGGGCGCTCAGCCACTGGTATTGAATACGTCTATCTTAACCTGTCGCTTTCAGTAAGTATGAGCAAAGACCATCAAAGTAAAGTGCTTCTCTGCTCAAAGATTTCCTCTTTTCAACACCAAATAGCTGGTCTAGTAAAAAAAACAACCCTTCAAGAGGCAGGTTTTTGTCTCTATTTGTCAATGCTGCTTCACATACATGGGACTTCTGACAAGACACAGCATGGCTCCTGCTAACAGCGGTATATCAGTAGTCTTTTTGCACTTAGTACCAACAGCAGTAAGATTCTTCCTTACCCAGTCTTCAGGTGTGAAAATACATCTTCCTGCTTCAGTCAGCTGGAGGGAAATAATACAGGAGCATGTGAAACACCTGAGAATGCTGCATCCATTGCCCCTTCAGAAATGGGTCAATGGTTGTGTCTCTTAAAGCTTACCTGATGCTGCTGCTCCCTTTTCTATGCAGATTGTTTTGCTGGCATTTTTCCTGGCTGCAGATATCTCTCCTGCTTGTGTTTTAAAGTCATCTTTTGACATTTTCACCTTTCTAACATCACTTTCTGTATATGCCATCCTGAGGGACCTTGAGGCAGCTCTTCAATGTCTCCTGCTACTGTGTGTATCTTGGGAGAGCAGCTGAAGTTATACAGCCAGTTATTAAAGTCCCTTTCTTTATCTTTCCAGGGTCATGAGTTAAGTGACATTAGCATTCTCTCCAGATACATTCACCTACAGAAGCTGGAGCTTTCATCTAATAAAATTAATGGTATGTAGTAAATACACTAGTAAATTCTTGGCTTGTGAAATCATGTAAGATGAGAAATGCACTCTACCATGTAGCTTTAGTATCACAAAGCCTGGTCTACATTTTAATGGTGTAACTACTGCTCTATAGAGTGAGGCCATGGCTAAGTAGTCATGAGAGTGATGTATGGACCATTCAGGCAGCTGTGCCAGCATATGTTTATCAGTGAGAACATGGAGATTATTGTCCAGTTTATTATCCAAAGATACAATGCAAGCAAGCATGTCAATACAAGGTTAAGGTTGAGATTTTACATCTGCAGACATCATAATATTTAAAGTTATGTCTGGAACAGTTTTCCCAGCCTTGGGCTTTCCTTTGCCAAGGTTTCCCATTGGTGATAAGATGTGAAAAATGATTTAGAAAGGTAATAAATAGAGACTGGGATAAACTCCATCTCCCGCTCCTTCCCTCTTCCCTCATACTCCTCAACTCATTTAACACCAAAAAGAATAAGCTGTGATGGGCAACCTGTTGCATTATTTCTTTCAAGTTCATTTCACTTGAGGTGCTGGAGTCCAAGAATAGCAGCAGTTTTGTGAGGCAGCAATTCTCCATGCTCATTTTACTTACAGCTTGTCTGAGAAGGCTGGGTCTGAACAGAGCAGGGACTTTTCCATAGCAACTGGTTATTTAGTCTTCAGTAGTGGCCGAAATACTTTTCTCCAGTGATTACTAACTTAAGACAGGGAGAGTTTCTCTGTCATTCCAGAGGTAGCTGGAATATAAAACTATCTTCTGGTTTATGGATAAATCAGTTGACATAATGGAAATTTAATGTAGAATTTGAGTATTTATTCTTTATGGTTTAGAAACTGTCTTTTTTTCTAGTAGAAGGTGTTAGTAATCTGCACTTTAAACATCACTTTCTGAATATGTAACTACAAATTCATTCTTGATTGCTTTTAGACATAACTATCCCTTTTTGACATGATGACCTCTGCATTTAGCTATGCGTTCAAGTAAGGGATTTGACCTTTTGTTTTGTTACTAGATCTTTCTTGTGTCAGTTACATGCCTTACTTACTAGAACTGAATGCTTCCAACAATGGATTGACTACGTATTTTGGTTTTAAACCACCTAAAAACCTCAAGGTAAGTTGCCAAATATGCATTTTGTAGGTTTAAATTTATCCCATTTCTAAATCTAACTTAGACATTGTATTTGGACATATGCAAAAGTGATTTTTTTTTGCCTTCCTTGTTCTTTCTTACCTCATTTGACATTTTAATAGCTTTTTCCAAGTCTTTGGGTATTTCATGCTGGACATTTCAGCCCCTTCACTTTCTTTCACACTCTGAACCTTTGCATGCCATGGGAAGCTGTATTGTAAAACCAGCTGTTCTAGCCGGAGGTAAATACAGCCAGAACTTTTGCCTCCTTGTTGAATTCATCAGACCTTTAGTGGGATTGGTTCCTGCCCTTCAAATTGACTGGTGCCAATCATTTTGTAACATATGGACAAGGGGTAATGGGTTAAAACTTAAAGAGTAATGGGTTAAAACTTAAACAGTAATGGGTTAAAACTTAAACAAGTTTTTTAGGACAAGGGGTAACAGGTTCAAACTGAAACAGGGGAAGTTTAGATTGGATATAAGGAGGAAGTTGTTTACTGTAACGGTGTTGAGGCACTGGAATGGGTTGCCCAAGGAAGTTGTGAATGCTCCATCCCTGGCAGTGTTCAAGACCAGGCTGGACGAGGCCTTGGATGATATGGTTTAGAGCGAGGTGACCCTGCCCATGGCAGGGGGTTGGAACTTGATGATCTTAAGGTCCTTTCCAACCCTAACTATTCTATGATTTCTATGTTCTTGAATTGTAGCTGTGTGGTAGTCTTCAATTTGCTGTAGTTCTCTTGTAGCCCACTGGGTTGTTAAAAGCAAGAGGGTATTTTGAAATACAAACTCCATATATTCCTCTGTCTTCTCCGTTAGTTTTTTAATATGTCTGGATAATTACAGGACCATTAATGAGAATGTTGTTGGAACAAAGTATAGTATTGGAGTTCTCAAAATGTGAATTCTGTGTGTCATAAAAAAAGAACTTTCTTTTTATATCCCAGTTTTAACCCCAGACTGGTTTGTGTTGGAAGGAAGCTTAAAGCTCCTCCAGCTCCAACCCCAACCACGGGCAGGGACCCCTTCCACTAGAGCGGCTTGCTCCAAGCCCCTGTGTCCAACCTGGCCTTGAACACTGCCAGGGATGGGGCAGCCACAGCTTCTCTGGGCACCCTGTGCCAGCGCCTCAGCACCCTCACAGGGAAGAGCTTCTGCCTAAGAGCTCAGCTCAGTCTCCCCTCTGGCAGGTTCAAGCCATTCCCCTTGGCCTGTCCCTACAGGCCCTTGTCCAAGGCCCCTCTCCCTGAATTAATATTGATGATCTTCCACACCCTTGATCACAAGTTTAATGTAAGAGCCATGTTCTTTTACAAGACACCTCTATGTGCTGTTGAAATAAAATTAACTTTCTTTCTCTTTTTTCCTTTAGGTAGTCGATTTCTCATACAATCAAATACCTAAAATGGAAAACTTGTCAGCATACGAGTCACTCACCAAACTCTTGCTGGATTGTATCCTTTACGGAAACTCGAATGGGAGAAAAGTTGCCTGTTTGCTTTCTGAACTTGCTTCACATGGGTACCTGTTTCTTCATGTTAGTTTTGTCTTTAGAAGAAAGATGAAACACTGGTGGTGATACTGATCTTAATTTACTTGGGCATGCGTGTGTTTTAAAGTATTTGTGTATACATGTTAAGGATTTAGCACACTAGAGGAGCACAAAAACCTTCCACTTTGCATCATGTAGAGCTGAAACAGTGACATGCCACACTGTGTTTGCATGGCAGAGGTAATACGTAATGCCAGTATTTTTATGTCCTAAAGGTGAATAGGAAATCAGCTTGGAAGACTAAGCTCCCCTAAATGAAAGCGTGTATGTTGTTTAATCTTAAACATAGCTAATACACAGGGACTGTAGAGGTTCTCTGGAGAACAAGACCATTTAGTGACAATGAATAGAATCCTTAAGAAAGGAAAACCTTCCTGGATGTGCTGAGAGAAGTACACAGAACAGAGGTGTTCTGCTCCCCACTGTCGCCACTGTGGTACCCACTTTGTGGGCTTAGAAACACTATTGTGGCAGAAATCAGATAAACATGAACCTGAACATTAAGTTTCTTCATGGCTTCATTTTCCATAGCACTCTTGGTCTTCCTAAAGACTCTCCTGAAAATTCATCTGGAGTTTCATGTTGAGAGCTGTCTCGCTTCAAATTGCTTCTTGAGAGCTTGTGAGCCTTTCCTCTTTGCTTCAGGAATGGTATCTTGCTTTTCCACTCCATGAAAGAGAAAAGACAGAAGCTGTGGCAGTTTTTTCTCTGCCTCTTATCCTGTTACCCAACAATATTAATACAATGTCTTTTTCATGTAGGAGCAGATAAAGCACGTGCAGGGTGCCCAGGTTATGTTATTCACACGTTTTAGAAGGTGTGCAGGTGACAGGATTCTTGTCAGCAAATGGCATTGACACACTATCCCTTTGCAAGTCTAATTCTCCCTCACAGAGCAAAATCCACATGGCAAACTGAAAAGGGAAGAAAGATCAGAGATGTGCATTGTGTATCTGAGGCAGTGTTTTTTCAGTTGCTTTCAGTGCAGCAGCGTGCTGTCTTCCATTTCTTCCTTTGGCAATGAAGACGCCATTCCAATGGGGAGGAAAACTTGCTTCAGGAATACAGTTGCAACAGGAGCCTCTGAAAGAGTGGAAAACGAGTGCAGGATTTAGAAGTGCAGGATTTAGAATAGCAAAGTGGCACTGTTCCTAACCCATGTCAAGCACTTCTCACTGAAGACATGGCAGACACAACAAGCTGTTCGCTGAAATCCTAACTGAAAATACTATGTTAGATATCATGCAGTAGCAGAGCTGTTTGGCAGGCGTTCCTTGTTGACAGTAAGTAAGCATTTCTTAACACCTTTGTGTAAATTATGATGCAGATGGTAAGGTCATTGCAACTTTTTTTCTGACAAGTGCATACACAAGCACACCTGACAGGTTTATAAATGAGTATTTCAGGAGGAAACTGCCCAAACCAGAGAAGGAGACAGCTTGGGCAGTAAGAGCTGACAAAGCACTATACTAAGTCATTAGAAGACTAAACTTGATTGTATTAGTTTTTAGAGCTGAGCAATTTGCTGCCTTATATTGATGTGTATGGCTTAATAGTTTTTCCACACCCAAACTTTTCTTCCTCAGATGGATGCCCCATCCCTGGCAGTGTTCAAGGCCAGGGTGGACACAGGGGCTTGGAGCAACCTGCTCTAGTGGAAGGTGTCCCTGCCCATGGCAGGGGTTGGAACTGGAGGAGCTTTAAGGTCCTTTCCAACCCAAACCATTCTATGAGTCAGTTGAAAGGGAAGCAGTCTCCTTTCATATATGGAAACCACTTAATATCTGAATGAGCCTGCTAACTTGGATCCAGCTGCACCTGAGTCCCACATGCAAGATTGCTAATGCTTTGCACTGAGTAAAGGAAGGTTCTTTTCAGGTGAGCACTGCTTGTCCACCATCTAACATATGCAGAGGAAAATATGAGGGAAAACTGATTCAGTGGACCAAGGAAAATGAAAAATACAGCAACCCAGAACAGATCCTCCTTAGCTGTATTCTTTTTCACCATCATGGACAAAGGTCTTTTCCTCCAGTGCTTATATGCCACGTGAAGAAGCATTGAGCCATCCAAGGTTGGCCACTGTCATGCCATGATATAAGGCGGTGGTTACACTTAGAGATATTTAATACCATCAGCTTCTAAGTGATGGTCTTTAAAGCCTCATTCAACTATGTTTCACACATTTCCACCCCACTATCAGCACTGCAGGCAGAGTTGAGATCATTTATCATCACCTTTACTTTTCCTTACCCGAATGTAAAAATTACCTTTTTTTTTTTCATTCCAGTAGAATAATTCTGAACCAGATTTTGCAAGATTTGGTTTGGGAGCCAATTGCGGTCTCTTTCAGACAGTTTTTGTCTGTTCATCACACACGTGATGCAGTTTAAACTCCACTTTAGCTGCAGCTTTGCCTGGGAAGGCTTTTCAATTTCTTTTCTGTTTTCCCTTAACTATCAGAAACGTCATGCAAGACTGGTAAAGAAACCCAAGGAGACTGTTATTAGATGAGAGCACTACAGATTAGCAGTCATATAGAATCTGCCTTAAATTATGTATTTTTAAATTCATGTTAAGGACAAATTTTTGCATTGATTTCAGCTGTCTTTGTAAGTCTGTAAGTTTACTACTGAAACTAAAAGCTGCTTTAAATATATTTCATTGTAAGAACTTACTTGATTCGATTGTCTTTATGGGCATATATAGTCCATAGATTTTGAAGGTTGTGAACCACTGCTTTCAGATACCAGCCAGCAAACACCAACAACTGGCACTTAGTGCATGGTTTGCATTGGCAGGGCTGCTAAAACGTACCAGTGAAACTGCCCCAACATTCAGTTTCCCTGTTTCCTCAAACCCAGATTTCCCTTCATTGTGGACCAGAAGAAAGTTGGGTTTGTAGTGATAGGATTTGTAGTGATAGGGATTGTACAGGGACAATAGGGACAATACAGGGACTTCAGTGATAGGACAAGGGGTGATGGGTTCAAACTGAAACAGGGGAAGTTCAGGTTGGAGATAAGGAAGAAGTTCTTCCCTGTGAGGGTGCTGAGGTGCTGGAACAGGTTGTCCAAAGAAGTGGTAAATGCCCCATCTTTGGCAGTGTTCAAGGCCAGGTTGGGGACAGCCTTAGGCAATATGGTCTAGAGTGAGGCACCCCTGCCCATGACAGGGGGGTTGGAACTGGATGATGTTAAGGTGCTTCCCAACCCTAAATTTTCTATGATTCTGTATAATTACATGCACTTGAATACAGTGATCAACTTAATTTATTTCTAATATCTGTCAAACATTAGTGCCTGTGGATGGCTTTGGTTTCTTTTCTAAAATCAGCCTAGTGTGAAGTCCTATGGAAAGCTAAATCTGTGCTTACTAACTCATTTCTTCTCCTCTCCTTCTCCATCAAGGCCTCTGAGTATAGAACTTGGGTATAATTAAGTACCTATGTAGGAATGTAGTTAGGAAAAACCAGAGTTAGGTGACAGTATTCCATTTGTTCTGCCTAAGCTTATATTTCATTTGGTTACAGTATCATTCAGACTGAGAGAAAATTATCTTGATCATTTATCTGCTGCCTGCTAAGACCAGAAATGTGAATAACAATTCACCTTTCATTCCCTCTTTGCAGACAGAGTTCATTTTCTCAATTAAAAATGTTTTCTTCTGTGATTGCCTGAAGGCATTTGTCTGTGTCCTGCATGTGCTGGCTATTTTTTGTTCCCAATTATACTTCTTGGGTTTTCATTTAACTCACTCCAGCTTGGAGATTAACAATACAAGTAATTCTTCTCATCGAACTTCAGTCACTAAACAATTAGATGCCTGGATCAGAGTTATCTGATTTCAGAGCTACAGAGTCAGGTACCTCTGCAGTTCATCCTGTTGTAAGAGAGATGGCTTGTTGTCAAAAGAGACATGCTTTGTGTAAGGAATGAAGGTAAGTTGTGTTAATGCTGAAGTTGGCTGAGAGGAATCCTAACTACTTGTACTGCTGCTGTTGATTTTAATGGTAATTTAAAATACATTTTCCCTTTTCAGGACAGATGGCTAGTACAGAACAGGTATAATTTAGAGTGAAATAGCCCCATATAGTACCGTTGACTGTTATGACTTTAGTAATTTGTGTATGATGCTTGGAGGTCAAGGTCAGTTTGAAGCCATGTTGAGTTAAGTACTATATAAATAGACCACACCTTCCTCTGGTGAATGATCCATGTGCCTGTATTCTACGGCTGACCTCATGTGAGTGCTGCTCAAAGTCAAAGACCTTCCAGTACCTAAAGGGGCTGACAAGAAAGCTGGAGAGGGGCTTAGGACAAGGGCCTGTAGGGACAGGCCAAGGGGAATGGCTTGAACCTGCCCGAGGGGAGACTGAGCTGAGCTCTTAGGCAGAAGCTCTTCCCTGTGAGGGTGCTGAGGCGCTGGCACAGGGTGCCCAGAGAAGCTGTGGCTGCCCCATCCCTGGCAGTGTTCAAGGCCAGGTTGGACACAGGGGCTTGGAGCAAGCTGCTCTAGTGGAAGGTGTCCCTGCCTGTGGCAGGGGTTGGAACTGGATGAGCTTTAAGGCCCCTTCCAACACAAACCATACTATGATAAATACTCCTATGTTTTAGCCAGCATATGCGCACCTGGTAAGAAGACCAGAGATTTACAGCATAATTTTCAAGGTGCTGGTAGTAGTTTCTCCCCTAAACTCCTCTTCCCTCATTTTCATTACTCTTGATTTGGCATCAGCCTGGTTATGCCACCTTGAAGGACTGCATTGTAAACCAGGTCACAGAAACAACCAGAGTTAAGAACCTCTCTAAAAGGAGAGGAAGGATATTTCTATCTTGATTTGTGTCACTTGTCCTTCTGCCCTACCAAAAGCTGTGTCAGTCAAACGTGGAGGCAGTAAATTCCAGGATAGGGGTGGGAGTGAATAACTGGGATTTAAAACTCCTTATCATGAAGCGTTTGATGTCCAGCTCCCCACACCATAAAATTCAGCTCCATTGGCTAATTTAGCAACTAACTGCTAAGGGTTTGTGTTCAGTTCTTTTCCTTAACTGCAAAAACCTCTGTGTAGTTAATAACATAGAGGAGATACAAGGACTGGGGAGATGTCACAGTCTGACTCACCTTAGTTTGTCACACAACAGAATTACTGCAATCAGTGGCCTTGAGAACCTACCTATCAAAATACTCAACCTGGTAAGAAAGAAGTAATTCTAGTTATTTTCCTGTCTTTTATTATTATATGAATCCCTTAATAAATGTGAAATTGGTTACATTAAAATATTTTCAGAGATATTTGTAATTCTGGACACATTTGGATTATTAATACATAATTATAACATGATATGGGTTAAAAGGGAGCTGTGAAGGTCATCTAAGCCAGCTTCCTGCTCAAAGCAGAGCCATCTTCAGTGGAGGATGCTCAGGGCCATGTGCAGCTGGGTTCTGGATGTTTCCAAAGATACTTTGCATTTACTCTGGGTGCTTCTGTTGTTGCTTAGGTGATGTGTAAGAAGTCACTGTGCAAGACCCACAATACAAACAATGAATTGAACTCATTCGTTTTAAGCGCATCTCCTCACAAAGTTGTGTTGATGATAGCGGGGAGCTGGGACAGGAGAGGGAAAAGTGAGGACTGAGATGCTTTTGTTTTAGAACACAAGTCAACTCTAGGATGCAATTCTGCTATACTATTAAAGGATTTTTATCTACTCTTTTAAGGCTCTTGTAATGAGATGGGAAGTTTTATGTTGCCAGCTTTGCATCAAGAGATCTAGAGTATATTTGTTTAAATACAGTTTTTCTAGGTTATATTTGTAGGTGCTGTAGAGGGATTTATCTTCTCTGGCTTCAGATTGCTTCAGCTCAGGTGAGTGCAGCTGAGCTACTTGTTCTTTGCTGCCTCAAATGTCAGTGGAGAGAAATGGACACTTCAAACACTTCATTATTCTGATCCAGCTGCTGACGTCTCCATTGCACAAGATGCATCAGGCCTTGGACATGCCTGTTTGTTATGAAGGTAGCCAAGGATAACTAGCCCAAATATAGACCTCTATCAATGCCTTCACTTGTTGGCATGCATCTTACTCATTCTGCAAGACTTGGGAAGGCATTAATCTCGGTGTTCCTCAGCCCCATACTTGTAAAATGACCTTAATAATCTCAGTGCTTTCTTCTGAATCATTTAAAGATATTTAATAGAAAGAGCCATCAATATAGAGGTTGTGCAGAAACACAAGCAAAACCTACCTATCTTTAATGCCATTCACTTGCTATAAAATACAACAGGCTACTTCTTAGCAGGTTTTACTTAGAAATAATGATTTTAAAATATATTGAATGGGATTTTAAAAATAAGTACTGAAAAACTATAGCTAGAAATATGCTCAGATTTGCTACATTAGTTTCAAGCACCTACATAAATATTTTAGATAAAGTGAAGGAATCCCTTCTCAGGAATAGAAACATTCTTTTCCAATCCTTTTGAAATTTTAAAGATTTTTCATCTGTTCTATAGTAATTGATACAGAAAAGAGCAACTATGGTCTGTACCCATCAAGACCTGGCTCTTCTACTAATCTCTGCTTCCATATTCAGGAAAGAAATAAAGATAGAATAGAATCATAAAATAGTTAGGGTTGGAGAGGACCTTAAGATTATCAAGTTCCAACTAGATAATTTAGTTCCAACCCCCCACACTAAATCATGTCACCCAAGGCTTCATCCAACCTGGCCTTGAACACAGCCAGGGATGGAGCATTCACAACCTCCCTGGGCAACCCATTCCAGTGCCTCACCACCCTAACAGGAAAGAATTTCCTCCTTATATCCAATCTAAACTTCCCTTGTTTGAAGCCGCTACCCCTTGTCCTATCACTACAGTCCCTAATGAAGAGTCCATCCCCAGCATCCCTATAGGCCCCCTTCAGATACTGGAAGGCTGCTCTGAGGTCTCCACGCAGCCTTCTCTTCTCCAGGCTGAACAGCCCCAACTTTCTCAGCCTATCTTCATACGGGAGGTGCTCCAGTCCCCTGATCATTCTTGTGGCCTCCTCTGGACTTGTTCCAACAGATCCATGTCCTTTTGATGTTGAGGACACCAGAACTGCACACAATACTCCAAGTGAGGTCTCACGAGAGCAGAGTAGAGGGGCAGGATCACCTCCTTCGACCTGCTGGTCACGCTCCTTTTGATGCAGCCCAGGATATGGTTGCTTTCTGGGCTGCAAGCGCACACTGAAGCCGGCTCATGTTCATTTTCTCATCGACCAGCACCCCCAAGTCCTTCTCAGGGCTGCTCTGAATCTCTTCTCTGCCCAGCCTGTAGCTGTGCCTGGGATTGCTCCGACCCAGGTGTAGGACCTTGCACTTGGCATGGTTCAACTTCATGAGGTTGGCATCAGCCCACCTCACAAGCGTGTCAAGGTCCCTCTGGATGGCATTCCTTCCCTCCAGCGGATCAACCGAACCACACAGCTTGGTGTCATCGGCAAACTTGCTGAGGGAGCACTCAATCCCACTGTCCATGTCAGAGACAAAGATGTTGAACAAGACCGGTCCCAACACTGATCCCTGAGGGACACCACTCGTTACTGGTCTCCAGCTGGACATTGAGCCATTGACCACAACTCTTTGTGTGTGGCCATCCAGCCAGTTCTTTATCCACTGAGTGGTCCATCCATCAAATTGATGTCTCTCCAATTTAGAGACAAGGATGTCGTGTGGGACAGTGTCGAACGCTTTGCGCAAGTCCAGGTAGATGACATCAACTGCTCCACCCCTGTCCATCAGTTCTGCAGCCCCATCATAGAAGGCCATCAAATTGGTCAGGCAGAGATTTCCCCTTAGTGAAGCCATGCTGGCTGTCACCAAGCACCTTGTTGTTTTTCATGGGCCTTAGCATGCCTTCCAGGAGAATCTGCTCCAAGATTTTGCCAGGCACAGAGGTGAGACTGTAATTCCCCGGGTCATCCATTTTCCTCTTCTGGAAATGGGCATTATATTTCCCTTATTTCAGTTGTTGGGAACTTCACCTGACTGCCATGATTTTTCAAATATGATGGCCAGTGGCTTAGCAACTTCATTTGCCAGCTCCTTCAGGACCCACGGATGGATTTCATCGGTCCCATAGACTTGTGTACGTTCAGGTTTTTAAGATGCTCTCAAACCAGATCCTCCCCTACAGTGGGCCCAAGGTCTCCATTCTCACAGTGCCTGCGTCTGCCTTCCAACCATTTATTAACCTGGCCAACCCTCCTAGCTTTTTTTAGGTCCTCCCCTGTATCCTGGAGAATAGATGAGAAGACAATCTGAGCTCCAGAGCCCTTAACCACCTCTCCCAGGGCTCTGTAGTTCTTCTTTATGTTCCCCAGGCTACTACTATCTATATCCCTAGTATCCACATGTATCACCAGAAGTGGGTAATAGTCAGTGGGACTTACTAGAGCAGGCAGCCTCTCTGCCACATCCCTGATCCGTGCCCCTGGTAGGCAACACACCTGCCTTGAGACTGGGTCAGGCCGACAGACGAGTGCTTCTGTTCCTTTCAAAGTAGAGTCCCCTACTACTACGACCCGCTGCTTTTTCCTGGCAGCACCAGTAGAGATCTCTACTAGTGCATCAGCCGGCTGTTTCTGGCAGGAGTGCGTTTCCCCATGAGCCCCTGCAGGACAGCAAAGCGGTTCTGCGTGGGGGCAACAGGTTTAGGAGGAAGCCCCTTGCTTTTAATTGTCTTCTTCCTCCTTTTTTGTTGATTTATCACTAATTCCCAGCTTCCCAGGTTAATGGTCTCCTTCTTTCCTCCATGAACTACAGTGGATGCTTGATGCCTGTGCAGAGTTTGGTGCAGTGCTGCTTCCTCTCAGCTTCCCTGACATCTTGCAGCCTATTGACAGCATCCCGCAGCTCAGACCCTGCTGCAGGAGGACCTGCACCGAGTGCAGCCCTGCCCATTGCGCATCCTCCCCTCACCAGAGCAGTGCAGGCGCTCTCTGCACCCCGAGCTCTGCACAGCAGCCTCCCCTCTCATCGGGGAGTGAGTCACACTTAAAAGTGGACAAGAGTGTGCTTTGAGTAGTATATTCAAATAGTGCTCGCTAACCTATTTTTAATCTACCTCCCTTTCATATATATATATATACATATATATACTGCCTTCAGTTATGCCCTTAGTGGTAATAAAACTGGATTTTGTCTCATTCTTAGTGGATAAGATGAACTCAGATTGGCAAAATCATGTCTAAGAGTTCTGAAATAAGAGGAATACAAAGATCTAAGCTGACAGGGTGATCTTTTCTTCAGGGAGAACTACGCTGACTGCCTCACCCATTGTCTGCACTGATTTCCTCATCTGTTAAAAGGCCTAGTAATAATTCTACTAGTAATAGGTTATCTGCTGCAAAACGCTTTGGAGGTTGTGTTAACAGCTAAAGCTTATTAATATGAACACGTGCTTCAGGTTGGGTTCTTACATGCTGATACGATTATTTATACAACTGCTCGTCTTTTTTAATTAGCAAAGCACACACTCATGTGGAAATTATGTAAATAGGCAGATTTTAGCACAGCATTTCCTTTTACTCGTTAGAATAACATTCAGTTCTTCGTGGGAGCAGCCATCCCCTCTCTTCCCATGGATTCAGCTTTCTTTTCCATTTTCCCTGGAGATTTTTAGGTTGAAAGAGTAGTGAGGTCTGAAGTTTGGCAGGAAGACATCAAAACGTGTAAATACTGCCTAGCTATACCCAAAAAAGCGCCTTTATTCTGCTTATACTTGCAAAAAACTAAGAAGTGCAGCTCTAATGAACTGGACTCTTAGGAACTCTATGCCTTGCAAAATAAAAAGATCTCTACACAAATCCCTTTTGTTCACAGGATTTTACGTGCATCTCTTGCATAGCCTTTTGCAGCTCAAGCTCTGAGCTGCATCCTATTAACCAGAGGTCTAACGAAGAACAGGAAGAGAAGAAGGAGCCTCCATGCTATTAATAACCTAATTAAACATTTAAAAGTCAGGAAAAATGTCAAGGACAGACAACTGGATTCACATTAGAGTCAGCTGCCTTATTTATTTCAATAGTTCCTAAATATTTATTAATAGAATATGAGGCTTCCAAGCTTTCAGCACAAGGTGATGCTGATGTCAAAATAGAGCTTGCAAGGTTATCCAGAAGAAATCATGGTGAGAGGCCATCTGGGTACGTGTGGCCACTGGGACAAAGATAAGTACAGAACTTCAGCATGTTACATCTATTTGGAGTTCACAGCAGAAACGAGTATGTGATTTGTGAGGCCCTGACAAACGAAGCCATCTGCTGTCCAGTGATAAATGTAGGTCTTCTGTCTTGTACCTTGTACGGGAAGAATGGAAAACAATGATTGTTGTTTATGAGTTCTCAAAAGCTTGTGTTAGACTTTAATGAACTAAAGCTTGCATCATTTTTTCAACTTGAAGAAGAGAAGGCTGCTGAAGGGGAGACCTTAGAGCAGCTCCAGTGCCTAAAGGGGCTGCAGGAAAGCTGGAGAGGGGCTTGGGACAAGGGCCTGTAGGGACAGGCCAAGGGGAATGGCTTGAACCTGCCCGAGGGGAGACTGAGATGAGCTCTTAGGCAGAAGCTCTTCCCTGTGAGGGTGCTGAGGCGCTGGCACAGGGTGCCCAGAGAAGCTGTGGCTGCCCCATCCCTGGCAGTGTTCAAGGCCAGGTTGGACACAGGGGCTTGGAGCAAGCTGCTCTAGTGGAAGTTGTCCCTGCCCGTGGCAGGGGTTGGAACTGGAGGAGCTTTAAGGTCTCTTCCAACACAAACCAGTCTGGGATTTCTTGTGTTAGAGTCTAGAACTAAAGCTTGGGGCATTTATTGTGTTAGAATCTATGTAAACTAAGAGTAAGTTAGGTTTGTTTGTTTGGGGGTTGTTTTAAACATGCCTATGCATGCTGTCACTGACAGTAAATAAAGTCTGCCTTCACTTAGTGTGCATCACGATAAGCTTGTGTATCCTAGAGATTGCCAGTAGTCCAAAGAAGGCATTACTGTATTGTTCTGCCTTCATATTTTGATTATTTACTCTGTAATCATAAGTGTAAATATAACCATGATTACAGAGGGAAATTCTATGTATTTATGTATATATATTCGATCATTTTATGTGCATATCTATTTTCTACATTTTAATTTGGATGCTGACAAGGGTATCCTTTAGCTAGGATCAGCTTTAGAAGGATGCTGGAGCTCTTTCTTATGCTGTTGTCTCTTGTTGCTCTTCCAGGTGAGTTGAAGATAAGTTAATCAGAGAGAGTTGATTCTTTTTTCTTTGAGCAATGTGGAAAGCTGTAATGTGTCATCTCAAGATGAAGATACCGCTAATGCGTAACAGGCCTATTTGTAATAGGATTCTCAATAACAAAGTGAATTCTGTTCTTCCTCAGGAATGTTGGTTTCTGTCTGTAGAACTTCATCAGCAGTTTGTGTCCTTTCATTTCTTCTTAGAGCTTTAACCAGATTGAGAAGATAACTGGGCTGGCCAGCTTGAAAGCTCTACAGACATTGGACCTCTCCAGCAATAAAATAACTAGTCTAGAAGGCTTGAAGAAACATGATCTACTACAGGTGATCAACTTAGAGGATAACCAGGTAGCATACTTGGTTTTAATATATATAAAATATAGCTTTTTCTAAGAATGCATAATCTTTTTTCTAAAATCCAATCCCTTGTAAGGCTTAATCAAAGAATCTTAAAATCTGCAAGAAATTAATTATAAAAGGTTATATTTTTCCTTTCATATTTTACTCCAGTGTTGGTTGATAGCGCACTCCTTAGGCTTTAGATCTCCATATGGGTTTATCTTTATGTAGGTATCACTTCTGTAGCATTTAGTGCTCACATACATAAATAATTAACAGCGTTTTTCTGAATGGATAAGATAGGGATGAGCATGCAGCTTTTACAGCTTGATTATTCTTGAGGCTCTTTACTTATATCACAGCTTTTCTACTGCCAGGCCTCAGGAAGCCTAATTTTACAACCACAGATTCTTCTGAGCTTTCAGCTGGAAACATCCTATGGGGCAGAATTCATGGACTCTATTATAAAGCAGCTTTCATTATGCAGCAGTATCCACTGGCAGTACAATGATACAGTCAAACTCATTTGGGTTTGGGTTTTGAAACCCAAGCCATATACATGTAATGCTACTGATATTGATCTTCCAGCCTCCTTACCTGAAAAGACTGGGAACTGGAGACTTAACTGAAAATTCGTGAGTCATTTTAACATCAAATCTGGATCTCCTTATGCAAGAAAAATAAGTTATAAAAACATAAATCAGGATATTACTGATATTTTGACTGTATTGATAATTTTCCGTCATTTCTTCCATTTGCAAGATACATTTACAGGATGTAATACAAGACTGTGAATTGTTTTTTCTCACACTGTATTCAGGTTGACATTTAAAGATAAATCAATTGCACAAGCCAGGAAACTAACTAATAGTATGGTTGCTATTAGCGCTAATAACACCACCATTGCCTCATATAGTTTGCACTGTTCTTTAGCATGTAAAGCTATTAATTTTACCTCATCAGAATTTGCCTATTCAGTGATGTTATTGAAACTCTTTAATGAGTCACCGGTTTTTGAACATTTCCTTCTGAAGGAAGGAAATTTAAAGAGAATTTAAAGTGAATTTTGATTAATTGACACAGAAAGATCTGAGTTTCTTGAGCTCTTACCACCGAGCGTGATCTCAAATGCTTGGTTTATCTGCAAACTAGGTCTCTCTTACACATGTTGAGTGGTTTTCCAGATTCTGACAGTTGGCATTCTAGGATTTCTTTATGAAATCCACCCAAATGACATTTGACTTAGTCAAAACTGTTTCATGGTGGGCTTCTTGATAATGAATGAATACTGGGTAGGCTATGGTGGAGGTTTGTGTTTTCAGACTGAGAATAGGGAGAGAATCTGGAGTCTTCTAAGTTCAGTCTTTCAGCAGTGGAGGGAGAATAGGTATCAAGCATTGCAAGGCCATTCATCCCATCCTACCATGGATCCAGTGACCTCTGGAACTGCCACTCCACTAATGATAAAGTGAGGTTAGGGTACTGATTTGAAGTAGTTTAGCAGATGCCATCCCTGGCATTGTTCAAGGCCAAGCTGGACAGAGCCTTGGGTGACATGATCTAGTGTGAGGTGTCCCTGCCCATGGCAGGGGGTTGGAACTGGATGATCTTAAGGTCCTTTCCAACCCAAACCATTCTGTGATGCTGTGGCTAAAATGAGGCAACATGAATTCCATTAGGTGCACTTAACTGATAACCTTACAACTGCTCCTTCAGCATTTATAGTGCCTCAAGTGAGACTTTGGTTTGGGCACACAAACTCTGTTTAATCCCACTTAACTTCTAATGCTTGTCTGATGTGCCTGAGTGCAACCAAGCCAGGTTTCCTCTGTGGACAGAGGAGACCTTAAGTGGAAGGCATCATCCTCTGGACACACACAGCCAAGGACAGCTATGCGGATGCTTTTCATGCAAGTGCTGCAACTTGGGTAGGATGACTTGAGCTGCAGTGAAAAGAAACTCTTCTTAGAAGGATTTTCTTTTGCCAGTCAGCTAAAACACAAATATAAGTGCACAATTGCTTCACTTAAGCATATCGGCCCTGAATGTGTCAGGGCCTGACATTTGAAAGAGCTGCAAAAAATCAGGTGGTTTGAAATTGCTGTCTGTGTTGTGCTGCTCCTCCAGCTAACATACAAGTTGTCTGCCTTTTGTGGCTAAAAGTGCCTTATTGAATGCACTTAACATATATACCTGTTTTGTGAGTATAATGAAGTTGGTTTATGTCCAGATTTTAAAAGCAGGGACTAAAATACCTTTCTGCCCCCCCAGCCCCCCCATAGTTATCATGGATTCTGTTGCTGCTATTTATGTTCTCTTTCTGTCACTGATTAGATTGCTGAGCTGCACGAACTTAAGCACATTGAAGATCTGCCTCTCCTCAGAGTTTTAAATCTGTTAAAGAATCCTGTACAGGTAAGAGGAAGCCAAGAATAAGAATCTGGAACTGCTGGTTTGCATCAGACCAGAATCCCTTTAGCCTCACCTTCTACATCTGACAGGAGCTAGGTCATTTGAAGGAGTCAGTACAAGAAACCCTGAGTGATGGTTTCCCTGTCATGGGTACCAACCTTTGTCTGGGAACTTTGTCTAAACAAAAGCTGCATGTGAATCATTATGTTTAACACAGTAAATCCATTGAATTGGTTAGTTCAATTTGTGAATCCATTTATAATTTGTATTCACAGCATTCCATGATTTTAGTTTGGGAAAAGATTCCCTTTTCTTTTGCTTTGAAGGTCTGTACTCGACTGTCCCTGATAAAAGCCCAAAGGAACTTAATAGTGTCCCATTAAATCATGTGTCTCTTGAACCTGTATCATCTTTTCTTCTCTAGGATTTACCTAGTTCTTATTTATGGCTCCCACAATATTCCTCAATCAATGAATTAAATATCCATTCTATCAACAACAGTTGCAAAATACAGGAAATTCTAACTTTGCCTCTGCATTTATCATTTGTCCTGGGTGATAAAAGGTGATTCTCTCCTGACTCTTGTGATTTCTAAATTTTATGTGAACTTTACAGCGATTTCCAATGTCAGAAAGAAGAAAAATATTAACGGTTTAATGTCTTCTTCCTGTAATTGCCAGTTTTGCTTTGGCGTTCATGAGGATGGTCTGTGGCACACAATGACATTACTGTGTAAGAAATACCCAAACTAGGCTGCCCCTGGTCACAGTATCACAGTATCACGGTATGTTAGAGATTGGAAGGGACCTCAAAAGATCATCTAGTCCAATCCCCCTGCCGGAGCAGGAACACCTAGATAAGGTCCTCTGTAATCCAAAAGCCTTTTTCTATTCAGATGTCCTTCCCCAAAGCAAAGTCTCATTATATTCCTTTCAATTACTCTTTTAATAACTTATACATGCAACAACCATCTTATGACAGCTGTTCTGTTGTTTAACAGGACCTTACTGGTTTGGAACTAGGAGCCTTCATGAACTTGTCAGTGTCGGCTTTTTAATTTGACTTTCAATTATTCTTTTTATTGTCTCAGACTTAAAAGCCTGTGTGATAACAAATTTATAGTGCAAATTCTCTTTTAAAGTTCCTATAGTATGACTGAGGTTAGAATTATTAACCATAGTTTATTACTGTGTAATATTACTAAGTAACTTACCATACTGATAGGACAAGGGGTAATGGGTTCAAACTTAGGGGAAGTTCAGGTTGGAGATAAGGAAGAAGCTCTTTACTGTGAGGGTGCTGAGGCACTGGCACAGGGTGCCCAGAGAAGTGGTGAATGCTCCATCCCCAGCAGTGTTGGAGAGAGCCTTGGGTGACATGGTCTAGGGTGAGGTGTCCCTGCCCATGGCAGGGGTTTGAAACTGGGTAATATTAAGGTCCTTTCCAACCCAAACCATTCTATGATTCTATAATCCCAACATAGATAACACTTTTAGTTCTCCAGCAGTCTTTCTTGGTGTTCTAGTGGATGTGGAGGTGAATTTTAAGTTCCCATCTTGACCTTTTGAACAACAGAGTTGGAGACTTTGAACAATTATTAACTCGTGCTGCAGAAGCTAAGCTTGTGGTGGGGTGTGAATTTATAGTGTATTGGCACCTTTCAAGGCAAAGAGCTTTTTATGTTGCAATGTATTAAGGCCAATTCAATTTCACCTGAATGAGATGAAATATTAAACTGATGAAGTTAGGTACTTTATGTCAAAGTGGAAACTTTGTCCTTCAGGAGCAAGCAGATTATTGGCTCTCAGTGATTTTCATGCTGCTCAAACTAACAGAACTGGATCTCAAGAAGATTTCAGTGAAAGAAAAGGTATGTAAATATGATACCCTTCTGAATTTGTCCTAAATAAAGAATATTAAAAACTATGCATGAATATGCAGCTTTGTAGCGATGTGGGAGTGACAAACCTCCCATGCTTTAGCCCCTAAGGTAAGCTACAAATTCAGACATCTGCTTTTAAATCCAGTGTTCAAGGCCAGGTCGGATGAGACTTGGAACAACCTGCTCTAATGGAAGGTGTCCCAGCCCATGGCAGGGGTTGGAACTGGGTGAGCTTTAAGGTCCTTTCCAACCCAAATCAGTCTGGGATTCTATATATATGGAATTTCTGGCAGTTGTGGTATGTAAATATGCAAGGCTTCTTACCTAAAAACTTAGTTCAGTGAAGAGATTTACTTAGCAGCCATTGTTATTCAGCTAGCAAATCCAAATGGGCAGCTACATTCATGAAACACTCTGCAGTGATAACCACTGTGCTATCTCTAAAATACTGTTGTTGGGAGGTTTTTAGTGTCATGTACAGCAAAGTGAACTCTGAAAGTTAAAGTGCTGCTCACATCCCATTCTATTCCATGCAGCTTTCACTGTAAAATCTTCTGCCAAAACCAAACCTTCTGTGGTAATAGAATCCTTTCCCTCTTGTGCAGCTTTTACTGTAATTTGGTTGCTGCGTGTAGTATTTGGGCCCCAAGCCATGCTAGAATTGTTAGGATCAACAGCTGCCAATTGGGGTTGGATTTCAGGGAAATATCCTTTAAAATTATCCTTCCTGGAAATTCATTGCTCCTAACTTTGCATAAATATTAGAGTTCTTGTTGGATGCCAGGCTCTCTCTGTCTTGAGCACAGAGAAGGGATAATACCAGGGTGTAATTCACCCACTTATCCCAGCATGGTTTTGAAGTGAACCCCTTAGGTGCCCAAGTTGCTGTGCTTGAGTCTCAGTATGGAATAGTCTTGCTATATGTTCCCTGTGAGGATGCTGAGGCGCTGGCACAGGGTGCCCAGAGAAGCTGTGGCTGCCCCATCCCTGGCAGTGTTCAAGGCCAGGTTGGACACAGGGGCTTGGAGCAAGCTGCTCCAGTGGAAGGTGTCCCTGCCCGTGGCAGGGGTTGGAACTGGGTGGGCTTTTAGGTCCTTTCCAACCCAAACCATCCTGTGATTCTATATGAACTATACTTCTTTTGGGCTTACCCTTAACCAGACAATGTGCAAACAAAGTGCTCCTAGGCATTAATTCAACCCAAACTAAGTCGAGTGAAATGAGCTCCCTTACTCCTCTCCTCCCAAAATGGTGTGGACATTGGGTCCTGAGTACTGAAAACCTTGCTTTAAAGGTCCACTTCTGCTGAACCACACTACTGGCTAATAGAGGTATGGTTCTCATCAGACCTTACAGCCGTGTTTTGCAGCAGTGTTGCCTAGCTGATATTTGATGGTTTACCTGAAGTGACTCAGTAGTTCTTAACCTGATTCTGAGTGCACAGCATTAATAACACCAAAAAATATGCAACCCATTAATGGTCACTACCCTCAATGGAGCTTTCAATAGAATGGATGGAGGGAATCCTTGGAGTTTAATTGCTCCTTATTTCAGGAAAGCCAGAAATGCATTGTCAGGAGAAAACTGCAGTTTCTTTATTAATGCCCATTCTGTTCCTCTTCTGACAAAGAAATGAATGACTTCAGTCCCTAAGGATTTTATATCAGCGTCTTCCACCAGCACTAAGAGGATGCAAATTAATGGATAATTAAAACCTAAGCAAAATTACTTTGCATCTTATATGGCATCTTGTTTGCTTTCCAGTAAAATGGTGACTGTATTAAAGATGGTAAGCTGTATCTGGCTGCCTTCCATCCGTCCATCAAATTGAGCTTAAAACTACTGAAAAGATTGATGTGTTCGCAGACAAGCCAAATCCAAAGACTGACCCCTCATAAATACGAAGCCACCATTATTCATAGTGGTCTGCTAAGCATATAGGAGCTGAAAACCATAACATCACTGCTCTTCTTTCTTTTGCCCCTAAATAGGTTGCTGCTGTGAATAAATACGATCCTCCTCCAGAAGTAGTTGCTGCTAAAGACCATATGACTCATGTTATTCGTGGCATGATGCAGCCCCAGAAGATCTTTGACAGGTAAGCTTCCTTCCACTTCACATCTGCTCCTGAGGGTGGCACTCACGTAAAGCACAATGTGTTGTCACCTTCAGAGGACGTTTTCCTGTCCCTCTCCCACCTCTAAATGAATCTGCTGAAGAGGAGACGATCTATAGTATTCTGTTAGTTAGCAGGCTGGAAATCGGGCAAATCTTATAGAATCATAGAATAGTGAGGGTTGGAAAGGACCTTCAGATCATCCAGTTCCAACCCCCCTGCCATGGGCAGGGACACCTCGCACTAAACCATCTCACCCAAGGCTCTGTCCAACCTGGCCTTGAACACCGCCAGGGATGGAGCATTCACAACCTCCCTGGGCAACCCATTCCCCAGATCTTATTTGGTTGGAATTGATTATGGAATGAAATCAGTCATTCACCTCTAAAGGCTCAGACAGATTGTCTGCAGCTCCGTTGCTTTTAAACAAGCTGTTGAAACAGATGGCCACAAGCACCATCAATGAAAGATGCAAAATTTCTCTCAATTCCCAAAGGCATTTGAAAAATCTCTAGAGGCAGAAGAGAGCTGTAAAGCACAGCTTCTTCCTGTTCTGCTTACTCCTTCTCTTCATACTGTTGGCATCCCACTGTGAACAAAATGACCTTATTTTGTGGCTTTGGAGCACATTTTATGTTTATAAGGTGAGATTTTTGAGTGTCTCCTTAGGGAACTCCAGCTACTTCTGGTTTTGGGAGGAGATGATGCTCACTGCCACTTAAAGCACATATGGGAGAGGCAAATCATTGTACTTTTCCAGTGTTGCCGTTGGCATGCCGGGTGACTTCCCTCAGTCTCATTTCTCATTGAGAAATTGGAAATGGCCATAATTTGCTGCTCTGCAGGTGTGCTATGATGCTTCCTCATGAGTGCTTGGAACATGCTCTGATGGAAAATGTTATGAAATATATATGATCTATTCTTATATTTGCTACAGTGGGTACTGAGATCAACTTTTGTGTCCCCACATCCCATTGTAGCACCATTTTGGACATCTGAATTCATAACTGAGTAGCCCAGTACACTGAACCTGCCTTCCAGTATCTGAAGGGGGCTACAAGGAAGCTGGAGAGGGACTCTTCATCAGGGACTGGAGTGATAGGACAAGGGGTGATGGGTTCAGACTGAAACAGGGGAAGTTCAGGTTGGAGGTAAGGCAGAAGCTCTTCCCTGTGAGGGTGCTGAGGCGCTGGCACAGGGTGCCCAGAGAAGCGGTTAATGCTTCATCCCTGGCAGTGTTCAAGGCCAGGTTAGACAGGGCCTTGGCCAACAGGGACTAATGTGAGGTGTCCCTACCCATTGCAAGGGGTTGGAAGTGGATGATCTTATGGTCCTTTCCAGCCCAAACCGATCTGTGAGTCTATGAATTAAGTTCCATGATTTATTAACTCAGAAACTTGCAGGTTTAGAATAACTTTATTGCAAGTCTTATGCTCCCTGGGATTGTTGACAAAAGACTGGAGCTATCCCAGTGGTGGTGACAGCTCTGAGAATTCATAGCCTGTTAAAGAAGCCTCCTAAGATTTATTTACTGCTCTGTAGGGCTGGAGGCTTCTTTAACTAAAAGCACAATGGTTTTACCTAAAGGCATGGATTTTTTCCAGTGCAGACATAGGCTCTATTTAAATATTTGTTTCCTGGATTGTGTATGTGTATCTTCTTTGCTGGAAAGCAACAATTCTATCTTGTGTCCGAGGTATTGTATACACAAACATAGAAACATGCAGACCAGAACTGATGGGGCTGACCAAGATTGTTAATGATGCTTTTGAATGCTCGCCTGTGCTCAGCTGGAAAGCAAACAGCAGAGTCATTAGTGAAATCTTCCTAATGAGGATGTGTTCCAGACTTCTACACTCTAAAATGTTTATTGGAACCAGCTTAGTATGTAGTTCATTTGTATCTATCATTTTAAATTAAGTAATTTGTAGTAATATCTGTATTAAGAAGTGAAAATAAAGCAAAAAGTTACATTCTTGCATAGTCTGCAGTCAGAAAACCTTCACATTAAGTTCGTTATGCCATTCCCTCTCTGTGTGTGCCTTGTGGTTCTTTAATTACATAGCAACACAGCACTGAACAATATGATGTTTGTCCCCTACTAGACATGCATGTGGCATTTTAAAAAGGAGCTTCATCATAGTTAGAACTGCTAAATGGGGAGCAGAAATGTAGTAACAGGGGGCTTTTCAGTCTACGGGGTGAGTAGAATCATAGAATGGTTTGGGTTGGAAAGGGCTTTCAGATCACCCAGTTCCAACCCCCCTGCCATGGGCAAGGGCACATCACACTAGACCATGTCACCCAAGGCTCTGTCCAGCCTGGCCTTGAACACTGCCAGGGACGGGGCAGCCACAGCTTCTCTGGGCACCCTGTGCCAGTGCCTCAGCACCCTCACAGGGAAGAGCTTCTGCCTAAGAGCTCAGCTCAGTCTCCCCTCTGGCAGGTTCAAGCCATTCCCCTTGGCCCGTCCCTACAGGCCCTTGTCCCAAGCCCCTCTCCAGCTTTCCTGCAGCCCCTTTAGGCACTGGAGCTGCTCTAAGGTCTCCCCTTCAGGAGCCTTCTCTTCTCCAGGCTGCCCCAGCCCAGCTCTCTCAGCCTGGCTCCAGAGCAGAGCTGCTCCAGCCCTCGCAGCATCTCCATGGCCTCCTCTGCACTCGCTCCAACAGCTCCACGTCCCTCTTGTGCTGCTGCCCCAGAGCTGGATCAGGACTGCAGGGGGGGTGTCCCCAGAGCACAGCAGAGGGGCAGGATCCCCTCCCTGAGCTGCTGCTCGTGCTCTGGGCGTGCAGCCCAGCACACGGGGGGGTTCTGGGCTCAAGCACACACTGAAGCCGGGTCATGGGGAGCTTCTCATGCACCAACACCCCCAAGTCCTTCTGCTCAGGGCTGCTCTCACTACATATGTTAAAAGGGGAGAGACAATCTTAACAGCTTAAAAAATCATGCCAGGAGGAAGCTATTTTTTGAACTGAACAGAATGTACAACTGAATACATTCAGGTAAGAATTTTTAAGGTGTATTTTTACCTTCTTCAATATTTTTCATGTATTGTGCTAACAATCTTGTGCTTACATTATCTAATGTCTTGTAAATGACACTGAACAGCACAGTAAGTAAAAAAATCTTTAAACATCCCAAGGGTTCTGCTACTATCTTGCTTTAAAATAGCCTCGTGGATGGGACACTGAACCAGGATCTGGGTTCATTTCACAGTTTAGTAACAGCTCATATGTACAGAGCTGATCCAGTCTCTTAATTTATTAGGTGTATCTGTTGTGTCTTTGTGAGGCTGGTACTTCATAGAGAATTAGGAGGCTCAATTTCCTTATTATCTCAGTGCTTCTGAAGCATCAAGTCCCATTATATAGCAATAGTTTGGTAGATAACAGAGCTGGTTTGCTGATACTAAAATAGGAGTAAAGCCATTACTTTGAAATCGCTCTCTTCCATGCCTGTGTTCAGTGGTTATTGTTACTTCTTTGTTACTTAGAAAGGGTAAAAGAAATATGCTCTCGTTTCAGGTATTTGCTTTTACCTGCTTAAATTGCATTAAATGGAAGCTAAACACACACAGGTTGTTTCCATCCACTTTAAATTTATTTAAACCATTTATTAGTTAAAAATAAAGGAGTTTGGAGCTATTTTAACTATTTCTGACATATTATCAAGTGGCTTCATCAGAAGATGTAGCTGAGGGTTAAAAATGGGAGTCCACTGTTGCATTCCATTTTTGGCTGTCTACATAAATTGCTGGACACTCAAAAGCGCACAACTGCTTTTCATTCCAGTATTTACAGCTGCAAGTGGAAATCTGAGGCTCTAACTATCTGCTCAGCATGGAGAAAATGGAGGGCTTTGTATTTCTGTAGCACTTTGGGTTCTTTTAGTGTGATGGTGTTTGTGTTCGGTGCATCTTAGCCGTTTTCATTGTGTTGAATTGTAGAGTCCTTTACAAATCACCGCCTTCATCTGGCAGGGCCATGGAAGTCAGCAAGATTCCATGCAGGAGCGTGGAAAGGTTGGTAGGATTGAGTCCAGGCTCATGCTAGGCTCATTATCCTCATCATTAGAACAGTACCAGCTCTGCAATAGACTTGGAAAACTCTTAAACATATCCCAGCAACACTGTGACTGCAGAGGGAGCTTTAGAAAAGGCTATAAATCAGAAAAGATTATAGCAGATAGAACATTATTCCTTTGGCAAAAGAGACCCAGAGGTCTTTAATGCAGCATTTTGTGCTATTTTTATGTTTAGAGCATATCAAACTGAGCACATGCTTCTCCTGATTGTTGTCTACACTGCGAACAATGTGAACAGTGTGATAGACAGATGAGATTAGTTGAAATGATGATAAAGCCCCTGTAGAAGCTTTATACAAAGTCGCTAAAGATTTCATTTGTAGGTAATGTGACAGCTCCTTTATTTTCCTTTCTTGTAGCACTTTACCTTCCCTTGATACTCCCTACCCCATGCTGGTATTTGCTGGTCCTGTAGCCTGTGGTAAGAGAGAGCTTACTCACAAGATCTGCAGACAGTTCAACAATTTCTTCAGATTTGGGTAAGTTTGCTCCCTAAGTTGAAACCACCAAGTGATCCAGGTTAGAGCTGCTCCTGGTTTGGTGGCTGTTGTTGTTTCTCTTTATAAAGAAGTTAAAGAGAAACAATAAATGTTCATTGCTCTGCATTTTATCTCTTCCCAGGGCTTGATGGCCTGAAGTCACTACATGCTTAAAAGAAAAGCTATTTGAATGCTTGTGTTCTTTCCAAAGGTGAACAGCAAACAAGAGTGTCATTTAGTGCTCCTTTTATTGATCTGTTCCCTCTCCCACTAATGCCCCTCAACCAAAGTATCTGTTAATATACATATGCTCTTTATTCTTGTAATGTACCTGCATATAACACATTAGCATGCATGTGCTGAGGGCATCCAGAAGCTAAGCAAAGAAGCAAGTGCAGTTGCTGGACCAGTTTATTATCCTGGGAGTAGTGTTATCAAAGCAAATGGCACCTTTCAGACTTCACCATCTTCTGGGAGGACAAATTCTCCCTATCTGAAAGGCCTGAATTATGATCCTTTTGGGCTCCCTGTGTGTTTGGTGGGGATAACCTATCTCTTCCCAAGGGAGATTCAACCTTTGTGAATCACTTCACTGAGGCACCTACTTATTTCCAGTGCCCAAGAGACAGGAAGCCTGGCTAAGTTATATCACCACTCTCTGGTACTTAAAGTTAGGTGGTGCAAGCTGATACTCCCATCCACCCATTCCATTCTTCAAGATACCTGACTTCTATTGGTCTTACAGCACATATCTCTTTCCAAGAGAGGTTCAGCCTTTGTGAATCACTTCCCTGAGGTACCCACATATTTGCAGTGCCCAGGAGGTAGGAAGTCTGGCTGAGTTAGATGACCACTATCTGATGCCTAAAATTAGGTGGTGCAAGCTGTTTCTCTTGTCCACCCATTCACAGTACCTGACTTCTATAGGTCCTATAGCACATGCTGTTCAGCACCAGTCTATATTCCTATATATGTTATATTGTGTCTCCTCTATTTTCTCTTTTATTACACTAATTTATCCATTCATTTTCAACCAAACTTTAGCCATAGTTTCACATATATTGCCACAGTAGAACCTGGGTCTCTGTGCACTCTTAGGTAATGAATTGTAAGAAAGGGACCATGGGCACATACATATATAAGAATGAAACCTCAAGAGTTCTGACCATCACAGGACTATGTTCTGCATGTCAATGTGGTGCCTAGTAGTAGCCTTCTTCTCTAGCACATGATGGTGAAGAGGTCTACATGTATTTCTGTCTGCTCTGTATATTTTAGCCACTTGCTGGTTTAGGTCCTAAAACTGGCAAGTTGAAAGGACATTGTAAGATTACATGACTGGAAAAGGGACTTTTTACCCTGCTTTAAAGCAACAGCAATGTTTTAAAAGACTACATTGGAAATGACAAACTAATCGAAAGCCAATTGGAATTTCCCAAGCGCTGTGCAGGGGTTTTTTTTAAGTGCATTGTTTTTCTACCATGTATTTTATTTCCTAAAAGCTTTATGCATGAGGGGAAAGTAAAAAAGGGGGAGAGAGAGAGACGGAATCTTAACAGAGCAGAAAATTGCAACCATAAAGCAAAGTTGTGTTTTAATTATTCAGGGCAGATTTCAGCAATTTTCTGCCTTCTACCTTTAGATTTCAAACATTCCACTCATTAAAAATGTATTGCATGCAGGAAACCCTGGCAGCTTGAATGTAAACATGGCCTTGCAATCCAAAAGGGTTGTAATGTAGAAAAGTGTTTCAGAAAACCCAGTGAAATTGGACCCTCCAACCATCTGGCTGGTGCTTAGGAATGACCTTTAGAGCTCGATGCATTCATAATATCTTAAAGAAAATCAGGCCTTTGAAGTGGAGTTTTAGAGTCTGCTGTTCTTATTTGTCATAGCTTGCTGATAAAAAAGAAAGTGGCACCCTCTAAATGCTGTGGTGGTGAAGATCTGACAAGCTCTGTTTTATTGACTAAACTCGTGTCATGGTTTAACCCCAGCCCCACACAGCTGCTCACTCACACTGTCGTCAGTGGGAGGAGGGAGAGAACTGGAAGGTGAAAGTGGGGAAATTCGTGGGTTGAGATAAAAACAGTTCAATAAGAAAAGCAAAAGCTGTGCACAAGCAAAGCAGTCCAAGGAATTCATTCACCACATAGAAACCCAAACTGGTTTGTGTTGGAATGGACCTCAAAGCTCACCCAGTTTCAACCCCTACAACAGGCAGGGACACCTTCCACTGGAGCAGCTTGCTCCAAGCCCCTGTGTCCAACCTGGCCTTGAACACTGCCAGGGATGGGGCAGCCACAGCTTCTCTGGGCACCCTGTGCCAGCACCTCAGCACCTTCAAACCATCACAGGGGGGGTGTTCAGTCATCCCCAGGACAGCAGGGCTCCATAATGGGGACTTGGGAAGACAAACATCATCACTCCCTTTCTTCCTTCTCCCAGCTTTATATGCTGAGCATGATGCCATATGGTATGGCATAGACCTTGGGTCAGTTGGGGTCAGCTGCCCTGGCTGTGTTCCCTCCCAGCTCCCTGTGTACCCCCAGCTTCCTCACTGGTGGGGTGGAGCAAGGAGCAGAAAAGGCCTTAGAATCATAGAATCACGGAATCCATTAGTTTGGAAAAGACCTTTAAGCTCATCAAGTCCAACCTTTACCTCAGAACTGCCAAGTCCACCATTAAACCATGTCACTGAACATGTCAATGCTGTGTAAGAAGCACTGGTCAGCAATAACTAAACCATCCCTGCATTATCAACACTCATTCCAGCACAAATCCAAACCACAGCCCCACACCAGCTATTACGAGGAAAATTAACTCCACCCCAGCCAAAACCAGCACAACTTCTTAATGGTTTATAACTGGTTTATAATGGGGGTTTTGGGGTTTTTTTTTAGGGCTATTTTAGTGTTTCATCCTGGTAGTAAGCTCACGTACCTGGAGTTTATCCTATTGTCCTTACATGGTGGCAGGTAATTACTTTTCCTGCCTTGTATCCTACTTTTCTCCCTCGTTTCAGGATTGTTTCTTCCCTTTCCTATTAGAAGTTTGTTTAAAGATTGGTCTTTATAATCTGTTTGTTAACCTCAGTTCAGCCTAACTCTTAGCCTCCTTTCCCATATTTAGGATCCTACTTTATATCATCCACAAGCTGACATGAGTGGGAAAAAAATGGTTTCATCATTTCTCTATTACAGGGTGCTGTGACAGCTTCAGCTCAGGCTGCCCTGGGCTGGGAGGGGATTTATAACCAAAATGTAATGTTACATTGAAACTTCCTTTTTGTATTTATGGGTTGATCTTTCAAATACCCAGCATTAGTGCTGTGATTTGCACCTCGTATTTCTTCTCTTCTTCAAAATAAACTGATTTGTAGCATTCTCCCTTTCCCCCCTCTCCCCTCTGATTCCAGAGTTGCTTCTATGATTGAAACCAGGTTATTTCTTTATTATACCATCTATCTTCCAGTCCCTGTCACACTACCAGGGAAGCTTACTTTGGAGAAGAAAACAGGCTTGATTACTACTTCGTTACTCAAGAAGAATTTGACAAAATGGTGAACATGGTAAGTACCTGACTAGTATCTTAGTAGCCCCATTTCCTACACCCAGAGTGAACTCAGCCTTATGACTGCTCCAATTTTGATTCTGATTATATTAGGTTTGTGTGTGCTTGCTTATTCACTCGCAGTCATGCAGCTAAAGTTTATAGATGGAAACCACAAATCTCTTGTATCATTGTATATTTATTCTTGTCTCGTATGAATGTAGAGAAACCATTAAATGTGCATAATGACCAGCAGGAAACTTTGAACAGTACTATAATGTCCAAATAAACTTATTTCCATGTGCACATATGTGTGTGCAGGGAAGAAAAACTCCTTAAATAGTTGATATCCTTCTTCCTTGTTATTTCCAAATCTTCCAGCAACCCCACAGCAAAAGCAGTCTTTGAAAGCTTAGCAAATTCACCCTGAAGGCATTGTGCTTCTCTCTGAAGGCAATGTGCCTCCAGCTACTGTTTCTGATGCCTTTTGCTGCCTGCAGTAAAACATTGGCTTGAAAAGCCACAACAGAGCTCATTATTTATACATATACAAATGGGGGAGCCAACACAGTCTTAAGCAACTGATCTGGTCCTAAATGCTAACTCCTAGTAATCAAATAGTTTCATTTGAAAAGCATATAACTGCTTACATCTCTCTAGATGTACTAATGGGAAGCAAAGTTTCAGTTGTCAGGTTTTAACTTTGAAATTTCTTGGCCAATTATACATTCCCCTTGCAGATCTGTTTCTGTCCTCTCTTTGGCATCTTCTCTTTTATATGGCACGGCCATATGGTTTGATGTAATGTCAAAAGAAGGATGCCCCTTGCTTTAGATCTTGCTTTCTCTGCAGTGTAAATGAATAACCAATGAAAGCTGTAACCTGTCAGCAGCTCGTTTTCAAGGCACTGGTGTTTTATTATCTATGAACAATGTACAAGCACATACCCTGCAGGAATGACTACGTGCTCTTCCCTGCAAATTGTGTGTTCCCATTGGCCTCATTATCCTTGATGGTTTAGGCAGGGAGAAACTTTGTAGGGAATAAAAACAAAGAAGTCCAGAGCGATTATGCTCCTTTAAGGAAGCTTTTTTCCCTTAAAATGTTTCTTTTCTCATCATAACTGCTGTCTTGAATTTCAGGGGCAGTTTATAGCAACTTATAAATACAATGGCTATTCCTACGGACTTGCAAGAGACACTATCGAATCAATTGCCAGAGAGGGTCTTGCAACTTGTGTTGAATTAGAATTAGAGGTAAGGATTACTAATTGCTTAACCATTGTTGATTGAGTCATTCTTTAACCTGCCAGAGGGGAGACTGAGCTAAGCTCTTAGGCAGAAGCTCTTCCCTGTGAGGGTGCTGAGGTGCTGGCACAGGGTGCCCAGAGAAGCTGTGGCTGCCCCATCCCTGGCGGTGCTCAAGGCCAGGTTGGACACAGGGGCTTGGAGCAAGCTGCTCCAGTGGAAGGTGTCCCTGCCCGTGACAGGGGTTGGAACTGGAGGAGCTTTAAGGTTCTTTCCAACACAAACCAGTCTTCGGTTCTGTGGGACCTATCCTGGGGAGGAACTCATGCAGTTTGACTAAGGTTTGTTCAGCGGTCTAGGCATATCCACTTAGTGACACAAGAGACACCCCATGGCCTTCTGCCCAGCCTACAGCTGCTGCTGATACGTTTGAACTAGTTGTGTGGGCTAATTACAGTGACTGGAATTATGGTTATTTGGTCAGAACCGCGTTTCGAACTCTACTGCCTGTATCATGTAGCTCTCCATTGTCTGTATGCAACCCTCACCACTCTGTTTATGGACACCCACATTTAGTTAGATGGATCCTTCTGCTGGCTTCTTAACACTTTCTGACCTGGTTTTCCAGTCTTCAGCAGCCTCGTCTCCCCACCACATCGCCAGCACTTCCCATTACAGTATCATAGAATCATAGAATAGTTAGGGTTGGAAAGGACCTTAAGATCATCAAGTTCCAACCCCCATCCTCAGCTTTTCAACCAGTGCTTCCCCTCCATCTGCAGCTTATAGTGGGACTAGTCTAGAGCTGCACATCTCCTGATCACCCCTACAAGAATGCCACGTTTCTCCTTTGCTGCTGAAGCGATGGAGGCAGCATGCAAGCCTGAGGCAGTATTTTGGGCAGAACTATTAAAAGACGCAATCTCTTTGAGGGATGACTTTATCCTCTCTGAGATGTGTCAGGTGCACATGCACAGATGGCAGAATCTCTGAAGTCATGCTGCGTTAGGAAAGTGGGTCACAAACAGAGTGTCAAAACCTGTCTATTAGAATCCCCAAAGAATAACTTTTTAGCTCATTTTCTAATTATCTACTCCTCATTATCTTAGAATAAGATTTACTAGCGAGGGGTTGAGGTGACAAAAAGGAAAGCCAGGATACATTTCTTTCCAAATTCTTTCTACATAGCAAGTTCCATCTTTATGAGCTTCCAAACTGAGAGACTCTACAGAGCACCTGGAACGTTATACTGGGAGTTGCTGGGTTTCACTGTGTTTGTAGGGCTCAGCTCTATCTCCGAGGGTTTACTGTGTGATAACAAACACTACAAACCTTCAGGATAGATGGGGAAAAAGAACAGAGATAGAAAGAAACGTGGGAGACTGCAGTGCTACCATAGGATCTTAAGTTTTGCATCCAGAGTTAGGGGAATGACTAAGGAGAATTGAGCAAAAATCAATGCTAAATTTATTAGGATGATTATTTTGTTTGTGAAACGGGTGCTCAAAAAAAATAGTTTTCCATTTAAGAACATTAGTGTTTATGAGGAATTTTAGTCTGCTTTGGACAAGTAAATATGTACATGTTTACTGGCTTGTATATAAATGTACAAATAACAGAACAGCAGCATCAAGTATCTCAAAGGGGCCTACAGGGATGCTGGAGAGGGGCTCTTCACCAGGGACTGTAGCGATAGGACAAGGGGTGATGGGTTCAAACTGAAACAGGGGAAGTTCAGGTTAGATCTAAGGCAGAAGCTCTTCCTTGTGAGGGTGATAAGGCATTGGCACAGGGTGCCCAGAGAAGTGATGAATGCTCCATCCCTGGCAGTGTTCAAGGCCAGGTTGGACAGAGCCTTGGGTGACATGGTCTAGTGTGAGACACCCCTGCCCATGGCAGGGGTTGGAACTGGATGACCTTAAGGTCCTTTCCAACCCAAACTATTCTATGATCCTATGTTAGTGCTAAAATATAAGTAGCTCCGTGCTCAAAAGGTCAACAATTTAATGCTGCAATCCTGCTCTTCAGTGCCTGTTACATGACTGATCTTAAACAGAAATTAATAACTTAATCTCAGTGTAGTTCCATTCCCCTTTCTCCTCAGTCCTGTCAGAAATGTGAATTCCCCTCAGTCTCCATTGATTGCAACAGGCATTGAGTGTGTTTATGAGATTCAGTATGACAGAATGCCTTTTAAAGCTGTCAATTCTTCACAAGGTAGATGTGTTATCAAATAATTTAGGAGAAATAACTTTAAGGAACACCATTTTTATTCATAAGGAGGTTAACCCAGCCACATAGGCAGTGACCATAACTTTTACTGGGTATTACTGACGCTACTGCCATGGACAGACAGCTGAGAAACTCCTTTGTCACCGAACTTCCAAGATAATGTAGTAATTATTCATAGTCTTGTATCACTGTGGACTCTGTGAGCAGATGAAAAACAATACCAGTGAGTTATGTATCTGAATAGAAGTTCTAGAAGTCCATTATCTTCTGTGAGGCTCATACCCAAAGTGATTTAGCACTATTAAAAGAAATCTTAATTATGGGCTGTGGGCTGAGATGAGAACTTTAGAGCTGTTCATTCCCTTTAATCTGGAGTATATCTTTCACTGATAAAGGAGACTGAAACAAATACTGGCAGTGAAATCGTGCTGAGTCTACACTTCCAGCCAGTGAAGCTGCTGCAGTTCAGACACACTGTTATGTGTTGGAGTAAGCACGTTTGCTGTGCTTTCTCTTTGCTCATGTAGCCACCAATACCTGTAGAGCACGTCCCAGACAAGGAAAAGGGTGGCTAATAGTTCTCATTATGCTTCTAGAAATAGAAGGTTATCCTCATTCAGGCCAAGGAGTCAAAGGATATCATAGAAATCACAGACTGGTTTGGGTTGGAAGGGACCTTAAAGCTCATCCAGTTCTACCCCCATGCCATGGGCAGGGACACCTTCCACTAGAGCTTCCTGTTAGCAGCAATGCAATACCATCTTGCACGATTCAGTATTCTGGTTTATATGCAGATAGGACAAGAGGGAGAGATAAAGTACTCTTCTAAGTGTATGTTGGTGCAAAGGAGAGCTGTCAGAAATTCAGGATTGATACCGTTGCCTACATCACTGTATAAAGCTTCATCTGTAAGTCCTGGCATACAGACAGGTTGCTTTTCAATGGTAACAGGTACCTGCAGTCCTCAGCTGTCAGTTAGAGCTGTTGTCCTCACAGCAGAGTTGATGCAAGGCACATGTAAATGTTCCCTGGGCTCTTATGTGACAAGTCCTTTTCTTTATAGCTTACTGCTGATGAAAATTGTCCAAGTTGGCTGACTACAGTGGAACAGCTGAGGAATGAGCACGTTGTACCTCTGCTGGGGACTTGTGGTTGTGCCCAGTTTTGGGAGGGGGTAAAACTGCAAGCTGCTTTAGCCAAATAAATATGGCTCTATCCTGATGAAGTCGTGGAGTTTCACTTGGAAAAATATACAGAATGAGGAGAAAATTGACAGTTTGTTCAGGCTGGAAAACTACAGGCCAAGTGGTACAGGTAATTTGTGCTCTGTGTCTGCACAGTAACGTGAGTCAGTGAAATGCTTATTTAGAATCACACTCATAGGACAGTTTGGGTTGGAAGGGACCTTAAAGTTCCTCCAGTTCCAACCCCTGCCACAGGCAGGGACCCCTTCCACTGGAGCAGCTTGCTCCAAGCCCCTGTGTCCAACCTGGCCTTGAACACTGCCAGGGATGGGGCAGCCACAGCTTCTCTGGGCACCCTGTGCCAGCGCCTCAGCACCCTCACAGGGAAGAGCTTCTGCCTAAGAGCTCATCTTAGTCTCCCCTCTGGCAGGTTCAAGCCATTCCCCTTGGCCTGTCCCTACAGGCCCTTGTCCCAAGCCCCTCTCCAGCTTTCCTGCAGCCCCTTTAGGCACTGGAGCTGCTCTAAGGTCTCCCCTTCAGGAGCCTTCTCTTCTCCAGGCTGCCCCAGCCCAGCTCTCTCAGCCTGGCTCCAGAGCAGAGCTGCTCTCAATTAAGGTATGTAACACCTGGAATAACTAGGTGTTAATGGAACAGGAAGGATTCAAATGAGAGAAAACCTATTAACTGGTGGGTATGAGAAGCACAATGTTTTAAATCACTGTGGAATTTGACTAAAAATATTCTTTCAAAAGTGTGTTTAGAACAAAGTCATACTACTCTTACAATGCTTTCCATATGTAGCTTTAGGAACTTCACCTTGAACTTGCCTATTTTGTTGCATTCTAAATCTTGAGACCTGTAGATGGGATTAATGTTTCTAGCACTGATTTCACAAAACATTTTGTTTCTCTGCTTCATTTGAAGGGTCTGCGTAGCTTGAAAAACACCTACTTTAAACCCAGATGTATCCTGTTAGTACCACTTAGCAAAGGCAAATATAAGGAGCATCTGCGGAGGAAAGGACTATTCAGCAGGTCAGAGATTGAAAAGGCAGTCTCCAGAGTGGACATGTACATCAACATGAGTGAGGATTTTCCAGGGTACTTTGATGCCACTATCTACACAGGTAAGTTTATCTCTTTTCATACTTTAAATGTGATTTCTAAGGTCACACCAATAGATGGGCTGAAACTGCTATGCAAACAGAGCCACTGGCAAATGTTAAACTAAGGATGACGAATGGTTCCATGTTCAGCATAACAGCTTAAACTATCCCTTAACTGATTTTCCCAGCTAATTCTTGCCCCAGGAATCCAAAAACTATGGACATCTGTCAGGACTGAATTACTCCACTATGTCCAAGTTTTGCTTTAAGCCCATCTAGGAAGTGAACCAGCTATCAAACCCAGCAGCACACTTGTTAAGTGTTGTGTTTTGTGACAATATTCAACTGATCTAACTGTCTATTGGTCTCTGGGCATAGAGCTGTTTTTGATCCAATAGACCTAGTTATCCTTGGGCAGTACAGGCTTTATTCAAGTCTTGAAATGACAACCAATGTGCAGTCTGACAACGTCCCACTGTAAGGAAGAGACTCCTTCAAAGCTTCTCCTTGTAGGACTCTTCTGCTTCCTAACTTGCCCATGTCCCCCAGCCTGGAACAAGGAATGGAAGGGTGGCAGATATTCCATTAAAATAAACATTTGCTTCTTGCTACTTAGGAATTGAGGATGGCAGATGGAAAAGAAGTGTCCTTTTCCACTTCATTTTGTGTCTGCCCTTTTGCGGAGGTGATTTTTGGGGTTCACTAGAGTCAAGGTGAAATATCTCATTGTGGTATGAAATAGTGTATTTGTACTTGTTCTCAAGGGCAGATAGAGCTTGCAATTTAAATGTAGTATTAAAGAAATAAAACAAAAAGCCAAACTGCAGAAGGACAATGTTTAGGTGAGTGCAGAAACTGAGATGAATTTCAGATTATCTTCTTGAATGTGCCACTTATGAAGATGAAGGCTCTTCTCCCAGAAAGATGAGCTGGTTAAGTTAAGAATGCATTTCTGCATCAGACTTCTGTGATTTCTAACCTTGTACTGATGAAAGGCTGGTTTTTAGTATTATGCATCCCTTCTCTATGCCATGAAATGCATATCCCTGTCTGCAGATGAACTGGATGAGGCATTCACAGAACTGAGTATCCTCGTAAGGGAATACCTGGATTTGAAACCACCTGCAGTTGCTGATAGCGTTCAGGACTCGAACAGCAGAGTAGGAGCAGGTACTGTGTCTGGGCACGTGCTAAAACTGCTTTTATCAATAAAGAATTCCTATTTATTTGTTATGAGAACTGAAATCTGTGAATGATGCAGTTTTTGAGATTTCTCGTGTCTAAACCTCTGTGTGCTTCCCTGCAATGGGTCTTCCCAGCTGATTCCTTCCTGGGATGTGAATGGAGATTTTTCCAGGTTCTTTACATCACTGTGTCCCCTAGGCAATAATATGCAGAAAGTGAGTTGCCTGACTCTTTTAAGGATGCTTTGGGGCATCCCATTCATTCCAGATGAATCACAAATGAGATACGCATCCATGGCTGAGAGTTTTGTGCCAATCAACCTGCTGAGCAGCAAGAAAATGCCATGACAGTGAGACCTTACTTTACCCTCTTCCCCAGGGTAGCAAGAAGCATAAAGAGGTATGTGAAACCTAGGATAGTAAGATGGGTGAAGGCAACTTATAAGTCCAATCTAAGTGCTTTTCTGGCTACCTGCTGCATGGTAAACCCAAATGATTGGTAGTGTATTTAAGAGAAGCCTTTTGTGCTTGAATTATGGAATCTGAGAATTATTTGGGTTGGAAGGGACTGTCAAAGCTCATCTGGTCCAACCCCCCTGCAATAAGCAGGGACATCTTCACCCAGATCAGGTTGCCCAGGATCACATCCATCCTGGCCTTGGATGTCCCCATGGACAGTGCATCCACCACCTCTCTGGGCAACCTGGGCCAGTGCCTCACCACCCTCATTGTAAAGAATTTTTTCTTCACATTCAGCCCTAATCTCCTCTCTTTTAGTTTAAAACCATCACCTGTGACCGAGGCTGGAGCCTTGTGATTAGTTCCAGCTAATCCAAGTGCACACTGCTGCAAAAAGTAGATAGACATGCCCAACTTACTTCTCCCTATGCATTTCTAGTTCCCCCCTTGCTCTCATTCCTCTGGTTGTGCAGTCATATGTAACCTGGGTCAGTGAACAGTTCCATCCAAAAACTTAGACAGGAAAAATCACCCCAACCAACTTTGAGACAGATCCATTCCCAGCTCAGAATCTTGGAGCTCAAGGAAGGAAGGATGCAGTGAAGAGCTTTATGGCTGCCTGTGGAGGAAGAAAGGAGAAGTGCTCTTGTCAGAGGCAGCATAGCTAAGGTTATCTTAACATACTGTGAGAACTCAGCTGGAACCTTTGATTTTAGCCCAGACAGGGCAGGTTACCAGCTGGGATGAAAGCAGAATATGACCTCTAAAATACTGGAGTAGAAGAAATAAGACGCAGATATGATAGTGAGAAGTTGTGCAATGTGAACTAACAAGAAGCTTATTTATGTGATCTTTCCTGTGACAACTCAAAGAGCCTCCATGGTTTATGGCTGTCTTCGTTAGATCCATTGTAAAAGGAGGGTTAATCAGTTTGCTGAGTAACACAGAGCCAATATTCAGGACCTTCTGTGTGGCACAGAAGGCTGCAAATAAACGTAGCTGAAGGGAGGGCAAGAATGTCTGAACGTTTTAATGAAGGATAGTGTAAAATTCATCAGTTCATCAGTTCAAGTAATTCTGTGTCCTGAAAGAATTAATAAATACTGATTTCCCAGTGGGCAAGAAAAAAGCTTCTCCACATATTGCATCATCCAAGTGCTACAGCAGTGAGAACCTTTCTGCAGGGTCTTATTTAATCTTAAACTATTGAAGTGAGAAAGACTTCCTTGCCTTTTTTACTATGATATTCTCACTCTATATTGTTACTTATTTGTCTTAAAAAACACTGGAGATGTTTTATCCTGAGAGCCAACAAAACCCACCAAACCCCAACTAGATTAACAGGAAAGAGAAAATGGGAGGATTAAAGGGAAAATACTTTTAGATAATGATAGCATTTTCCAAGATCTATATTTATGTGTCTAAAGCTCCTTTAAAGGACTTTGTATTCCTCAGCAGTTCTGAGTTCTTTCAGTGAGTGACGTGTCACTAGTTACGGAAACTTCATTACTACTACTAGATTTTGGTAATCCTCCAGTCCATAAAGTACCTTTGAAATTTACTATGCACCATTAAATTCATTTAGAGCAACATTTATAGGTGTTTAAATAAATTTAACTACCCTATTTCTCGAGATCATCTCTTCTTATGGACACTGTGAAATAATTTATCTTAAGAAACTTGCCCCAAGGTTGTCTTTAATACGGACATTTTTAGTAAGATAGTAGCAGGGGGAAGATTGGTTGGGGGAGATTATGATAGGTTGTTAATTCTGGTTTTAATGAACTGCTCTGCAAGAGCTTTTGCTCATGTATAGAGTGAAAATAGTGGGAGAAAATAGATAAGTTCTGCTTTTATAAAAGTTTTTATGGCAGAAGGATAATCCATTTCCGAGCTGATAATGCTTTGTACTTGCATTAGCGGCTTTCCTTCACAGAACCTGGTATTTTACAACTATTAATTATATAGCACAGCAGTCCTGTGGAGTTGCTATTTGTATTTTTCAAATGAGGAAAGGGACATTTATGTCAAAGACTGATTATTTGTGATGCTTGGCACCAGAAATTGCACTGAAGTTTCGGCAGTGTGAAGCTGTGCACCACTGAAGGTGAGGCTTTAGGTTTACTCACTGTCAAAGTGAGTGGGTTACTGTCCCTGAAACAGAAGCCACCAATCTCCAGCCTCATTTCCTCTCTTTTTAACACCAGCTCTTCTGGTAGCTCCAACCCAGCAGTATAGAATCATAGAATGGATTGGGGTAGAAAGGACCTTCAAATCATCCAGTTCCAACCCCCTGCCACGGGCAGGGACACCTCACACTAGACCGTGTCACCCAAAGCTATGTCCAGCTTGGCCTTGAACACTGCCAGGGATGGGGCATTTACCCTCTGGGCACCCTGTGCCAGTGCCTCACCACCATCACAGGGAAGAACTTCTGCCTTATATCCAATATATATCCTTATAACCAATCCTTTAAAAGTTTCTTGAGTTACCTTTTGTGAATCCAGAACTGTGCCAAAAGCCAGCCGATGATAATTGCAAATAACTGCTTTCTTTCTGCTTGCTGTAAGCAAAGTGGTGTTCAGAATGTTTTTGTTCAGGAGTGCCTTTTCCATCCCAGCTTCCAGCATACGGCTCTTACGGCAGCAAAGATTCTCACCTGGTGGTGTAACTACTGGAGCTACTCAGTGTTCATTTGCCAGTGAGTTCTTGGACTCTTCTGCCAAAAGCTACCCAGGAGGCATCTCAGAGAAACATGCTGCACAACTGAGGTCTATGGTAAGGCACATTTACTTTAACCTTGGATATAAATGATTACTTGTATGCAAAAAATGCATGTCAGACCTTTCTTTCTACAGAGAAAATGGACTCCTGTTCTCTTGCTGTGATTCGTTCCAACAGTATTTACCAGTTTCTCAGAGTTAAAGGCAGATTGAGGAGAGAGAGGCAGGTAAACTCAAATGAGAGGACAAGCTGTTGTTTCTGCTCAGTTTTACACCAGAGTAAATCTGTTGATCCTAAATAGAATCCCAGACTGCTTTATTTGGGAAGGGACATTAAAGCTCCTCCAGGTCCAGTACCTACCACAGGCAGGGACCCCTTCCACTGGAGCAGCTTGCTCCAAGCCCCTGTGTCCAACCTGGCCTTAACACTGCCAGGGATGGGGCAGCCACAGCTTCTCTGGGCACCCTGTGCCAGCGCCTCAGCACCCTCACAGGGAAGAGCTTCTGCCTAAGAGCTCATCTCAGTCTCCCCTCTGGCAGCTTCAAGTCATACCCCTTGGCCTGTCCCTACAGGCCCTTGTCCAAAGGCATGATTCCATCCAGTTGATTTCATCCAATTGTGTACTGGTGTAAGGCAGCTGAATATCATCTTTCAGCTCTACAACAAGATATGAAATGATCCTATTCAGTGGCAATACTTAGATGCAGTTAAAAGGACAATGAAGATTACTTGTGAACGCCATCCTGTGGCAGTGGATAAACCCATTCAGCTGAGCCTCTCAGAGTGTATCTAGCGCTAACTGCCAGAGATCAGATTTAAGCACATTTTTCACCTGCTTTTACTTTTCCAATCAACACATGCAACAACGTGCTTGGATTTCAAATAACCTCTTGCAACTCCAGCTTCATCTCTCTTCCTGTTTTTTTTTCCTTCTCCTTAATAGTCCTTTCCCTACAGGCATTCATCCTGCTTGCAGGCAGTGGAGTAGGGGCTACGAAGCAGATGTGGCTACTGCTCATTTTATACGACGATGACAGGAGAAGGGGGAAAAGAAAAATGAAAGCTTTAAACTATGTTCCATTCCAGGGTTATGATGTCATTATGATGAATGATGGCTTGGCAGCCATGACTTGCTCTACAATTTTGCCGCTATCTCTGTATTTATAACTACCTCTGATGTTTAGGATTAGTGTTGTAGATGGAGGAAAGTAACAGAACCCCCCTGCCCCTGTTTCCCAGCCTTTCAGAAAGACTCTCGTAGATGTGGAGAAAGGTATGGTTAGAGAGCCTCCCATCTTTCAGTTTTCTGGGATGAAATACATCCTTTCAAGCTACGCAGAGCTCCAAAACTGTCACAAGTGTTGTTCATGTTTCATAAAATCATAGAATAATAGAATGACTTGTATTGGAAGGGACCTTAAAGCTCATCCAGTTCCAACCCCTGCCACGGGCAGGGACACCTTCCACTAGAGCAGCTTGCTCCAAGAAGAGATCCATCATTGCTTTAGCAGCAGGGAGGAGGACAAACGTTGGATTTAAATGAAGAGAAATAATTGAACTGCTGAGGGTAAGCAGTTAACTGAATGGATGCAAGCCTTTTGGCTGTTATTTTGTGTGTAACTAAGCATAGCATGGAATTAACTGAAAATGTACTCATTTATGGCAAAGTTGTAGGCTGTGGCTCTCTTTCACGTAAAAGCAAGTCTTGCATTGGTTGGGAAAACAGGAGAGAGGCTCTCATGGCCCCAAAGGCGGCAGATTTGGGTCTACTGGAGGATCTGTAGAGGGTCGGTTAAAAGTTATTTCAGAGGCTCATTGGTGACCTGAATCTCATAGAATCACTGAATGGTTTGGGTTGGAAAGGGCCTTAAAGCTCCTCCAGTTCCAACCCCCACCACGGGCAGGGACCCCTTCCACTAGAGCAGCTTGCTCCAAGCCCCTGTGTCCAACCTGGCCTTGAACACTGCCAGGGATGGGGCAGCCACAGCTTCTCTGGGCACCCTGTGCCAGCGCCTCAGCACCCTCACAGGGAAGAGCTTCTGCCTTATCTCCAACCTGAACTTCCCCTGTTTCAGTGTGAACCCATCACTCCTTGTCCTATCACTACAGTCCCTGATGAAGAGCCCCTCTCCATCATCCCTATAGGCCCCCTTCAGACACTGGAAGCTGCTCTGAGGTCTCCACACAGCTTCTCCAGGCTCAACAGCCCCAATGTTCTCAGCCTGTCTCCATATGGGAGCTGCTCCAGCCCCTGATCATCCTCGTGGCCTCCTCTGGACTTGCTCCAACAGCTCCATGTCCTTCTTATGTTGAGCACAGCAGCACTGCACACAGTGATGCAGGTGGGGTCTTACAAGAGCAGAGTAAAGGGGCAGGATCACCTCCTTCGACCTGCTGGTCACGCTCCTTTTGATGCAGCCCAGGATATGGTTGGCTTTCTGGGCTGAAGCACACAGTGAAGCCAGCTCATGTTCAGTTTCGCATCGACCAACACCCCTAAGTTTCTTTCATCCCCAGGTTTGTTAGTTTAATATGAGGGAGAAGCCAGAGTATTTCTCACTGTGGTGGCACTGTGCCATCGCTCCTACCCCAGCAATTTATTTTTCTCCCTTTTTATTTAATCTTTTTTTATTCCTATTTTGAAAGTTTACATTTTGTCAAGTCAGGGAGAAGTGGTTTATGACTAAGGGGGCCATCATTTACCTTGGGTTTCACTTACTTAGTGGCTGCAAGGCTCTTTCTTATTAGTCTCCTTATTCAGGGCTGGTAATACCTTTTCCTTATTTACTGCACTAAGTTTCCAATATATTTTTACATGCAGAGGAAGCTTTACAGCATCAGCTGAAGTGACAACATAGTAAAACACTCCAGGTGAAACACAGGTGCCTCTTAGACCATATTTAATGAGATGAATGTAAATATGTCAGTGGCCTTCAAGTGAAATTTTTGTCTAAACTGTTACATTGGGGACTGGAAATTATAGTGCTTTTGGCACCCAAATCGTGTGCTGTTGCAGCAATAACCACATCCCACTCCCATCATGTAGAACTGGACAATCAAAATCAGGAAGGAATTAATGGGAATTATCCACCAGCAATATAAGAAGCAAGATCTGCTGCTCAGGGGTAGACAGTAGATGTGATTCCTTGCAGCCTTATCCCTTGTGAGCATGCCAATTTTGTATGGCTGTAATTAACTGTACCAGGTATGAAGTGAAAGGTGTCTGTAACTGTAATCTACACAGAAATAAAGGTCAGAACTATATCTTTACCAAAAGAGAGCAAAACAAAGCACAAGCTTGGTGAGCACCTAAGGAGAGCCTTACTTAATGTAAGTAATGCAAGGAAGTGAAGGAATCCACAACAGTTGTAATGTGAGCATTCCACAGATTTTCCATATTCTCTTTCATTGCATGTACCATGACAAAACACCTCTATTACATGTGATTTAGCTATTAAATTGATAATCATCAGTGGCTATCGGTTGATAAGAAAGCACAATTTAATAACTTTGTGATGTACATGTTAATGTATTTAAGGACATGCTACTGCTGCATTTGTCTGACCTGAGAAACTATATTGTCCTACATACCCTTAATGCTCAGGACCACATTTTCCTGCTGAGATCATCATATGTTCATTGTACAAAATCATTTAAACTAACTAAAACTTGCAGAGGGTTCTTTCTTTTAGTGAAGATATAATGAGCAATGAATTCTTTCATTGACAAGGGGGATATTGCTTGATAGAGTTGGTAAGTATTGCTGGAGAAAGGAGACAATGTATTTAAGATGAGGCAGAGGCAAATTTGACTGTATTCAGTCCCTTGCTAGTGAAAAGAAGCTTAAGACAACAGCATAGCTAGAATTATCCCTACTCTAACATACTGGGAGGTTGGGAGGCATCAGAAGTAGTTCTCTGAATGTATTTCTTCCTATTACCTCCTTGCACATTTTGACTACTATGAAGAAATGGAGCTTCACTGGAGGTAAAGACCCTCATTTTTTCAAAGGCAGCAGGATTTCAACCTAAAATTGGGTCTGTGTAAGCTGGTGAATCACATTTAGCACCTTGTTAGTTAGAATATAGCTCTGCTATTTTCCCATAATCTATCAATTCATACACTCTGGAGCCTTAGCAAAAGAGAGGAGTATCATAACCAATTAAGATACCATATATACTTTTAAGCTGCTGTCTAAAGTTGCTCATATTTCTTTATCAGGAAGAAGCTTCTTTCCAAAGACGTTTCTGTGCACTACGTCAGGCTCTGTTGGGGAAAGCACCTAATGCATATGTCCAGCCCTTCCAAAGGTAAAGTAGAGTGGTTTCAGCCAAACATTCCTTTGCAATAAAGTGAGTAATGCCTGTTGGAAGGTCTCTTCTCCACTGCTCATAAGGATGAGTTATTAGAAGCTGTCAGAGATCGCAGATCTCATAGACAACTCTCCTTTCCATCACCCTGGTCTAGCCCTACAAATAAAATACACACTGGCTGTCTTTTGACTCGGGAGTGTAGCAGTCCCAAAAATATATACCAAAAATATATGAGGCTTAGCCATCCACAAGTAACTTGTCTTAAACTATGAAATTAATGCATGTGTTTTGTCTGCGAGAGCAGAAAGGGATCATTTTTCTGGCAGCTCACAGTCTCCCACATGCCTTTTAGCACTACTAGTAATTAGCGTTGGAAAGTCACAGCCACGCTCAGCACAAGGTTGGTTGCTGCAGTGTATCTCTGTTTAAAATAGAACCCATGGCTGTCTCTGTTTAAAATGCAGTTCCTGAAAGTTGGTTCCACCCCTAATTTAATTTTTTACTTGTTTTATTTTTTTTATTTTAGAATTTGGACCCTATCTTGACTCTCTTCTCCTTCCTTATAATCACAGCCTTGCAAAAGTGGTATTAAAAGTCTATGGATCTCAATGTACCTTCTTTGATTGACCTTTTGTGGCATTCCTGCCTTCCCTGCTTGTAAATCTTCCTAATCTGAATTCTTCTTTACTTGCTTTTACTACCTGCCATGAAAAGGCTCACAGTGTTGACATTTAAAGTATCACATAGGCCTCTAAAGCAGCCATCATCAGAAAGGATAGAAAAGTTCATACCTTTCAGCCCATTTCAGTCCTGTATAAATGCAGTCACCAGCTGTAGATACCAGATGTGTTTTATGAAAATCATTCCAATGACAAAGTCTGGAGATTGACTCTTAATAAAAGAAAAGAAAGAAAGAAAAAGGAAACCCTACTGAATTAAAGTGTCTCTAGAAAATCAACAGCCAAAGTTTATACACAGAGAGGCATAATTGTCATAGAATCATGCAATGGTTTGGGTTTGAAGGAACCCTAAAACTCACTCAGTTCCAGCCCCCTGCCACAGGCAGGGACCCCTTCCACTAGAGCAGCTTGCTCCAAGCCCCTGTGTCCAACCTGGCCTTGAACACTGCCAGGGATGGGGCAGCCACAGCTTCTCTGGGCACCCTGTGCCAGCGCCTCAGCACCCTCACAGGGAAAAAACTTCCTAATATCTAATCTAATTATAATAATCATCATAATTATATCAATAAAATAATAAAGTGATAAAATAATAAAATAATGTCTAATCCAATTATGATGCATTTTCCAAATCTTTACTTAGAGAAGGAGGTTTTTAAGTAGCTGATTCATTCATTTTAAGCTATGTTGAAACGAGAAGAAGAACAGAAAGCAGTGTTTTCTTTTGCTGGAGGTTTTGGGTTTCATTTAGCATTGCAGTATGGACTGTTCATGTGAGTATTCCTGCTTGTTGCTCTTTACTCCTTTTATTTCACAAGACACATCTTTTGGAAGCTGATTTTGGAGTTAAGTATTAGGTTGCTTTGGCAGAGCTGTCAGGCAGGTGAGAGCAAATCCTGTCACCCCCAATCAGTACATGCAATTACCAGGCCTCAAGGGATAGGTGCACTCAGTGGAATTGGAGGCAAGAGTAGACAACATCCCATTCCGTACAAGAGGTTATGTCAAGAGGGGCCATAAATATGAATGTTATCAAATGGTTGAAATGCTGAGAGAGAAGCTGAATCCTGGAATGTAGCAGTTAAATAGCGGAGAACCTGGTAGGTCAAGAGGTCCACTCCACTGTTGGTGCATGGTTGTTCTATTGAGCATTCTTGTTCTTATTTACACAGAATTGAATCAAGTTTTAAATACCCATCAGAGAGGGGCTTTCACCTTGGAAAAGCTCCCCTAGGGTTTGGTGGATCTTCATGGAAGTGAGGTTCAGAGAATCATAGAACACCAGGTTGGAAGGGACCTCAAGGATCAACTGATGCAAGCTTTCTAGGCAAAGCATGCCCTGTTCCCATGCCTGAGAACCCTCTTGGTGAAGGTATTGTTCCTAATATCCAATCTGGATATTAGGAAAAACCATGTTGTGCTAGCATCATACTGAGAGAGGACTGGGAATGTAAATAGGTGGCTGGGGACCAGAAAGGGTGGAGGGCAGGGGCAGCTCAGCTTGCATTTGAGCAGCACTGCTGCAGAGAATGAGAACCCTGCTTCAGTGAGGAACGGACTGAAATTCTATGAAATAGATGAAACTGATGCCAAAAATGATATATTCCAAGAAGTTCCAAAGGTATGGTTTGAATTCTTGTGTATCTGTAAATATTAAAAGGATTCTTTAATGTTTAATCTCATTATCAGACATTTTAATCCAAACTGAAATATACTGCTCCATTTTCCTGAGTATGAGAATGTTAAAAGTGGTGTCACACAAGAATCTAACCCATCTTATTTATTGCAAACCCTCAGGCTTATCTACATAAATGTAGATTCTTAAACCCAAATTACTGGAAACCTGGCCTCTATTTTTTGCCTGGGGCTGTGTGCAGGTGTAATTGAAGTCATTTTGATGTCTCATTGCCTAACATAATGTACAAGCAACACTCGGTGGTTTGCTCGGAGTAATTTCACTAGTTGTCTGTGTATTTGAGGGCAATAAGTAAGAGCTTGGGTTAAAGTCTCCTTCAAATCAGGCCTTTAGCTAATGATTAACTTCTTGATTTCGTCTAAATGTTGCTGAAAGAACTGGAGGAAGCAAGAGCAGGCAGTGCCGAGAGGAGGATTTATAGCATTGCTTCTCTGAGTTGGAAGGAATTCATACCCTTTACAGTTTCACTGCCAGAACTGCAGAGAGAGGTCTACAGCAGCCTCCAGTGTCTGAAGGGGGCTACAGGGATGCTGGAGAGGGGCTCTTCATCAGGGACTGGAGTGATAGGACAAGGGGTGATGGGTTCAGACTGAAACAGGGGAAGTTCAGGTTGGAGATAAGGCAGAAGCTCTTCCCTGTGAGGGTACTGAGGCGCTGGCACAGGGTGCCCAGAGAAGCTGTGGCTGCCCCATCCCTGGCAGTGTTCAAGGCCAGGTTGGGCACAGGGGCTTGGAGCAACCTGCTCCACGGTGTCCCTGCCTATGGCAGGGAGTTGGAATTGGATGATCTTAAGGTCCTTTTAAACCCAAACTGTTCTATGATTCTATGGTCTGCCTGTGGTTGAGACTCTCTTCAGCTTGGATTTGGTTACTGTGAGCATAAGATTTATGTGCACATTGTTCCAGAGAGCTATAGGACTGTTTGTGTTGGAAGGGATCTTAAAGCTCCTCCAGTTCCAACCCCTACCACAGGCAGGGACCCCTTCCACTAGAGCAGCTCCAAGCCCCTGTGTCCAACCTGGCCTTGAACACTGCCAGGGATGGGGCAGCCACAGCTTCTCTGGGCACCCTGTGCCAGCGCCTCAGCACCCTCACAGGGAAGAGCTTCTGCCTCTTTCAGTTTTATTTCTGTGCCCCCCTTAATGACAAAACCAGGGCATTGTTCCAAACTCATGGATATGCCTTTTCACAGGGTGCTGGTGAACTTCTTCACCCTGTTTTCCCTTTCTTTTTTTTTTGGAGCTGAGGCATCCTGGCGCAATTTGAGCTCTACTCTGAGCCTAAATACCTATAATGGCAGTACAAAACATGAGAGACAACACAACGGAGACATTTAGTGCAGAGACAGAAGGTGAAACACCATCCCTATCACACCTCTAAAAACGCATCTTCTTCATAGCTGTCGGCTATGTTGGGTTAAGTTCATTTATCAACTCAGTTGCAGCTTCCCAGAGTGGGTCACAGGTTCTGAAGCCAATCCTTTGCTCCAGGATGCAGAGCCCATTTTCCCATGGCTGTCCTTCAGATTCCTGCTTTAACCTCCCGTCAGGCGGTGTATTTCTGTGCTGTACATCAGAGGTCTTTGCTGAGCTTTTCTTCGTGTCTTCCTGTTTTCATTTCCATCCTGTGGATTTACAAGAACTGATTTCTGAGAGCAGTCGGCTCTGGGGGCCATTAAAGGAATGGGGCCCTTTCACCTATGTAATGGGTTCAGATTCCGATCTGAGCTGATAACAAACAAACACTATTACCAGCTGCCGGTTGCTTGACAGTGAAACAATAACAGCTTGAGGCCCTCCACTAGGGAAGCTTTATTTATAGGTGTTAATAAGAATAAATGAAAGAAAAGGAAATTTAAAGGCAAAGAGTAGAAAAACCTGGCTTGCAATGCAGTGTATTGGGCTAGGAACTGACTTCTGAGGAGGGGTGGGGAAAGCCTCATCACTGAAGCATCAGAAGAGGGGAACAGTCCTACTCTGGCAAGATGAGGAGGTGTGAAAAGGCAATGAGACATTCCAGCCTTTCTGTTTCCTATGGGAAACCAGCAGTCGTGTACTTGTTGCCTTAATGGCCTATGGTTGGACAGGGCTTGGAGCAACCTGAGCTAGTGAAAGGTATCCCTGCCCCTGGCAGGTGGTTGGAACTTCATGGTCCTTAAAGTCCTTTCCAACCCAAATCATTCTGTCATTGTCTTTGGTTTTAGCTCTGTGGTTCAAGTCTATAATAATGAATAGTGGTGCCAATTACTGCAATAATAGTGATGTCAACATTGGAATTATCACGAGTGCTTTGCTTTAAGTGTTATACATGGCAGGGATGATGAAAATTCTCATCTTGTGAGCTAGTCACAGTCTCACCCCATTTCCTGTGTCTAATAGAAATGTCTCTATCTGAACAAGTTGCCCTACACTGCTGTCTCAATGGAGAGTGATTCATCCAACCTGTTTTAGCTCCTTACTTAAGCTTGAGTTTATTCCTACTGTAGCTGTGACTGTTCCTCTGTATTTGCTATAAACAGAGCCTGGATTACTACCCCCAACAGCTTATATTGCTGCTTCTCTCCCGCAGGAGATAACACTCCCCTCCAGCTGAACAGGTCTTGTGAACTCACTAAGCTCTAATGAAGCTATCACAGTATATAAATGCATGTAACAAGCACTTTATTTTCTTCCCATATCATTTCAGGGACCTGGCAGCCACTCCTGCACCAGGCAGCTCCCATCAGCAATTCCTGGAACCAACAATACATGCTTCTGTGCTCTCAGATGGAAGGAATATGACCCAAGACCAGAGCTACCCCCTGAGTAGAGAGAGACGGTGAGTTCAGCTTCTGAGACAGATCATCGCGGGGTGGAATGAAGGTTAATGCTGCAGTGTGCAAGAACTAAAACCATTTCCCAAGCTAATGCACTTGGCTCATCTGCTACATCAACAGCCTTATTAAGCACGTGTCACTGCAGCATAAACCAAAGTCTTGCCATTCGTGGCACTGGTTTCATTTAGACACCATAATTCACATACACAGAGAATTTTGAGAGCTTTCTATCAAGAGGATGTTTGAAGGGGGAAAGATGCTGAAAGAAACTTGGTCCAGGTATAGAAAAACAGAACTTGAGTGATAAATATGCTTTTAAAACAAATTTACCAGATATTGCTATCAGGGTTATTTCTCATTCTTTCTTTAGTTACCATTTGGGAGGCTCTGGTGGTCTTCACATTCATATCTCATCCATGATAGCATCAGATCCTATCACGATACTGAGCTCTGTAATACCTTTACCTTCTCTTGCTATCTCAACTACTGCTACCATGCTTCATATCTTGTGCAGCATCTCTGTTCACAAGTGATGAACATCCTCATTTACTTGTACCACAGCTAAGCAGGCTCTGAGATATGAAACATCTCCCTGTCTCATTTAAAGCTTGTAGAGAGGTGAAGGTAGAAGAAGATATGAAGAGGCTACATCTTCAGTGCCTTCAGCTATATTTTCCTGTCTGGCTCTGCAGGTACACATTGCCTCTTACAAGATAGCTGTGACTTACTCTAATGGTCCTGTTTCATAAGTACATCTGAGTTCTGGTTGCCAGCAAGCCTGTCTGCTGCTGTGGCAGTGACATTGCAGCTTTTCTATGCAGCATCCTGGATAAGCTTTGCTTTTTCCCTTCTCCTGGCCATCTGTTGTAATCCCATGCCCAGATGGGATATACAGAAACAGCCAGACGCCACACAGCATGACCTAGTGAAGCATAACACACAAGATCCCCATCCACACTAGGAAGTAGGTGTGTGCTTGCAGCCATCCTCTGCTCGCTCTTCAGAAACTATCACAAAGCTCATCTGAAAGCTTCAACTTGAATGAGCTAAGTTGAATGGCTTAGAGTGAGCTATGCTGTCTTGCTGTTGGTAAACTTGAATTGGATCATGGGTTCAACCCCATGTCTGCTATATTGTTCTAATCCCATGCAAACCAATATACCTTTTCTGGTCTATTTAAACACACCATGCTGTGGTTTTTCCACCTCTGTGTTTTCACACCTTGTAAAAATCATTGTTAGATAACCTCCTAAACACACATTGAATTATAGAATCATAGAATAGTTAGGGTTGGAAAGGACCTTAAGACCATCTAGTTTCAACCCCCTGCCATAGGCAGGGATGTCTCACACTAAACCATGTCACTCAGGACTCTGTCCAACCTGGCCTTGAACATTGCCAGGGATGGAGCATTCAAAACATCCTTGGGCAACCCATTCCAGTGCCTCACCACCTTAACAGGAAAGAATTTCTGCCATATATCTATCCTGAACTTCCCCTGTTTCAGTTTGAACCCATCACCCCTTGTCCTATCACTCCAGTCCCTGATGAAGAGCCCCTCTCCAGCATCCTTGTAGCCGCCTTCAGACACTGGAAGCTGCTCTGAGGTCTCCACGCAGCTTCTCTCCTCCAGGCTCAACAGCCCCAATGTTCTCAGCCTGTCTCCATACAGGATCTGCTCCAGCCCCTGAGCATCCTCGTGTCCTCCTCTGGACTTGCTCCAGCAGCTCCATGTCCTCCTTATGTTGAGGACACCAGAACTGCACACAGTGCTGCAAGTGGGGTCTCACAAGAGCACCTCTGGCCAGGATCCCCTCCTTTGACCTGCTGGTCACACTTCTTTTGATATGAGGCAGCTTTTCACAGTAAATCAGACCAATGAGAAATGTTGAGCATCTTTGTAAGATTCCAACCCCTTCACCTTATCCCTCATGTGTTAAACAGAACTTTGAGCTAAACTTGCTGTCGTAAAACCCCCTGTGTTCCTTTTCTATCCTAGAGAGACTGTGCTCTCTCTGTGATGTACTACCTGCCACTGTAATTACGAGTAGTTAATTAGCATGCTGTAAAAAGGGCAAAACCACAGGTCTCTGCAGACTCATTTGTCCTGAGTATTTGTGCCTTGGTGGAGTGTGCTGAAGGGGAACAGAGTGAGTGTGTGAGAGAAACCAAGTGCGTAATAAGTTGCTGAGGGATTATGCATCATCTGTCCTTAGCAGGGAGAAGCAAGACCTATAGCTCAAGTGAGTGTGAAGCTCTGATGAGTTGTAAAGGTCTTACCCTTCACATATGGGAATAAATATGTCTTTCCACTCCACCACATTGTGGTGTTTTGACTTTAGCACTGTTTTCATTTAGCGCTGTTAATAACACAGTGGGAAAACAACTGTGAGGAGAGGAAAAGCAAACTGCTAATCTGATTCATTTTCCGTGTATGCAGCATGGCCTACAGCAAACTGGCAGAGAGTCGTGTTGCCAACTCCTTTTGTAAGGGAAATACGGGAAGTTGGGAAGGAATTTGCTTAGAGTGATGAATGGAAACACTGTTGTGTAGATATGTTTGAAAATCCCCATGTATCTGAAGCATTGTACAACCTGCAGTTACCTTGTTTGAATATTGAGGTGCTTTAATATGTTCTTCTTTCTCCCCAATTTCATGCTTTCAACATCTGGAATGGAAGAAAGAGTAAACTAAAAAAAGCCATCAAGGGGAAAAAGTATGAATGTGTTGACCTCTGAGCACAGCAAGCGAAGGAAATACTGCTTTCCAAGAGCAGGGTTAGCCTCATATCAAGAGCAGATTAGTCTCATATCTCACTGGGCAACACTGTGTCCAGCTCCCAAATATTTTGCATTATTACTCAAATGTGGCAGTTTTCATTTAAGCTTGGGCTGTGGTGTGGAAGCAGCAGCGTTATTCTTCAGGTCACTACCGCTTGTTGGATACAAGTCTGTTACTTCTGCTTTACAAGTGAGATGATTGCATTTACCCCAGAGTGAAAATCAAAGGTTTTGTTTAGACATCTGCCCACTGAGCTGCAGGTCTCAGCAGGACAGTTTCTAATGACATCCTTGGCTTCTTTGCATTGCTGAGACCGTAGCTATGCTCTTCTCCTGGGAAGTAACCTACGATGACCTGGTCTTTCCTGATCTCACTAAAGGGAACACTGTGCCAGTTTCCAGGGACTACTCAAGTCCTCTCCTGGAGGCTGACCTCTCCCATACATGGAAATGTGGATTACGTTTGCCTGAGGTGCCATTTATTTTCACTCATAGGCTTAAGCAATTTATCATCGCCTTTGGTGAGTAGCAGTCCTTTAGGGCAATAGATCTTACAACTGTGCTTTAAAGCACTGCTACTCGCCACAGGCAATGATAAATTCTTTGGGTCCCTCTCTGCTATATTTCATCACTCACTTTAACCAAGCAGAAGTATTTGTAAGGTTGTTGAAACGATCTGGTTACAGCATAACGAGGAGAGGAGACACAAAATACAGTGAGCTGGAGAGTAGAAACTTCTTAATGATAGAACACTGCCAGGGATGGGGCACCTACATCTTTTCTGAGCCTCAGCACCCTCACAGTGAAGAGCTTCTTTATATCTAACCTAAATCTCCTTTGTAGTTTAAAGCCATTCCCCCTTGTCATATCTCTATATTCCCTTCTGAAGAGTCCCTCTCCATTTCTTATACTAATGTCTTCTCCCTAACTTGTTCTTGTATGTACAGGCTGTGGGCTGTGCCTCGATACTGGGCTCTTCAAACCTCACCCCACTGTTCTATTCCATTCACTTCTACCGGTGGCAGAAATAGAAAGCAGACAAAATTAGAGAAACTGCCACAGTTTTTATTCTTGTATAAGCATCTTTTCACCCTGAAGACAAGGAGACTACATTCTCCATGTCAGGACTCCCATAGCTTCTGTACTATGCCTGTCTGCAAGTTTGAGGGTGGAATAAGAACCTCACCTACCATTTAACAAGGAACTGACTCAAATATTGAATTGCACATCCCTATTCCTGCCAAACACAAGCAAACGGGAAATGCCCATCAACTGAAACATTACAACGTCATGTGCAATGATGTACGTTAGGGTTTGGCAGCCCAGCGCAACCAGAATCTAAACAGGATCTATAGCAGGCCAGTGCTTTACTCCTCAACTCATTACTGAGGGAAAACTTTAAAGTCAAGATACATAGAATGGTTTGGGTTGGAGAAGACCTTAAGAGCATCCAGTTCCAACACCCCCAGCATGCCTGCTTCCCCTATAATCGGTCTCTTTTCTGTGCTGCCAGAAAAGAACTAAGGATACCTTGTCCAAATGCATTCACAGGTCACCTGGCAAGGGCATAAAGTAGAGGCAAATTCTCAGCTCCTCTCTCCCACACTTCCCAAATACCTTGGACACCTACATGGCAGAGTGCTCATAAGCTCTAGTTTCCCACTTATCTTTGATGTCATTCTCATTAAGCAGCTTTGCAAGAATCCTTAATTAAATTAAATGCTTCCTGTAACACTTGTACTACATAAGCCTGAGTACCTGCATTCCCTTTACACCCTGCCCAGTGGTACGTGATCTATTTCCAGGCTCTACCTTGTCTTCTGCCTAAAGAAAGGGACAGCTGAGGAGGAAAGCCATGGAGATTGTTGCCGAGTACCTTTGGATGCTGGTTTTTAACACAGTGCATTCAAGCAGTTGCAGCTAGAGCTCTAAGGGGGTTAATTCTAACTATATGGTATCTGTTTTTAGCCTTTACGAGTAGGTGGATGTGTGACTGTGTTCTCTGAAGCAAAAAGCAGTAGTCAGCCTTTTAGAAGCTGGAATAGATGCTGTTGAAGAGTCCAAGGTGCTGTTTATACTAAGCTTGGATTTACTACTTCTAGTTATTTCTTATCCCTACCGCAGTTATGTCTGATGAGTATTACAAGCAGCTAAAATGAGATTACAACTAGGGTTAAGCACTTGGCTGGAGAGCACTGGGTGTTTGATGAGCATCCTTGGGTGCAATGGACCTCAGAGGAAGACGCAAGCACTCAGTACATTAAAGGATAAAATATCCTTTTACCTTGAAGGCAACAGAAAAAATCCCATAGTCTTCCATAGTGCATCTATCTAGTGACAAGGTAATTACCTGTTTCTTATGGGAGAACCTCACTGTTATATCTCATTATTCATGATCCTTTCTTCTTATTGTATGGGTTTATTCAAATACCACTGAAATACTTCCTTTCCTTTCCCCACAACACTGTAATCACAGTTATTCTCACAAGCTTAAACGCTTCTTGCAAGAATTAGAGGGTGAAATTACTTTGGCCTGCCCCATGGGTAAGGTCAGGGTGAATAATCTTCCTCCTAGGCTCACAAATCTATGAATTAGTTTCCCTCACCTAGACCAGAACAGTCCTTTCTGTACAGAGACATAGTTAATTATTTTAAGCATTGCTCCAGAAATATATGTTTTGCATTAAATAGGTAGGTATTGATCCTTCCATATTAATCAAGGCCTTTTCCTTACTTACCTTGAAGTAAATCGATAGTATATAGAGGGAAATGGGAAGTCTATCAGAATGAGCTACAACACAGTCTTTATCATTGTCGGGGTCTCAGACCATTTGTGTTTTGGCTTTTCTGCAAGAGACATAACACATCACAGGTGCTTTGGGTACTACTCACTGGTAAATGACTATTCATGGTTTGTGTTGTCACTGGGGTACTACAGAAACGCTTCTTTTCAAGGCAGTTCCTATTTTCTTTCACTCACCAAGAGAGAACACTGAAGATGGGTTTAGTAAACAAGGAGCTCTGAGTTCTGATCTCAGATCTGGAGCTGATGCACTGTGTGGCAGGAACCCCTTCTGCACCGTCGAGTGGCTGATGAAATCAATAAATTCATAGAATTATAGAATAGTTAGGGTTGGAAAGGACCTTAAGATCATCCGGTTCCAACCCCCCTGCCATGGGCAGGGACACCTCACACTAAACCATATTACCCAAGGCCTCGTCCAACCTGGCCTTGAACACTGCCAGGGATGGAGCATTCACAACCTCCTTGGGCAACCCATTCCAGTGCCTCATCACCCTAACAGGAAAGAATTTCCTCCTTATATCCAATCTAAACTTCCCCTGTTTCAGTTTTAACCCATTACCCCTTGTTCTACCACTACAGTCCCTAATGAAGAGTCCATCCCCAGCATCCCTATAGCCCCCTTCAGATACTGGAAGGCTGCTATGAGGTCTCCACGCAGCCTTCTCTTCTCCAGGCTGAACAGCCCCAACTTTCTCAGTCTATCTTCATACAGGAGGTGCTCCAGTCCCTGATCATTCTCGTGGCCTCCTCTGGACTTGTTCCAACAGATCCATGTCCTTTTTATGTTGAGGACACCAGAACTGCACACAATAAATTCATAGAATCATAGAATAGTTAGGGTTGGAAAGGATGTTAAGATCATCAAGATCCAAGCCCCCATGCCATGGGCAGGGACACCACGCACTAAACCATGGCACCCAAAGGTCTCGTCCATTCAAATTCAAATGGAGAGAGGTAGTAGTTGTGTTTGCTAGCACTTGAAGTTTTGTGGTGTGTAAAGCTTTGTGTAACCAGTAAGTACTGGGGTTTATTTCTGTCTCTTGACTGAGTCGTGTGACTGCAACATCAGTGATACTGTCAGCCTTGGTGCATATGCTATTTTACTGCTATTTTAAAGCATGAATCATTTCCTCCTCTCAGCTGCAAAGAATCTGGTCCTGCCAGGGGACGATTCCTGGCCTCATCTGGTGCCTCTGCTGCTGAAGGTCTGCCTGTTCGGAGCCCTGTTCCTCATGCTCACCCCACTGAAGAAGCCAAAGCTGAGCATCAAAATCCAAGAAGAGCTGAAGATGGAGTGGGCAGATTGAGAGGTTTGAACCATATTGAACACATTTTGAACTACTTGGAACAGGCTTCTCAGGAAAGTGGTGGAATTACCATTCCTGGAAGTGTTCACACACTGTGTAGACAAGGCCCTCAGTGACATGGGTTAGTGGTGGTCCTTGCAGGGCTGGATAAAGGTTGGACTGGATCTTAAAGGTCTCTTCCAACCTGGTTCATTCTGTTCTATATTCTATGTAACAGCTTTGCTCAGGCTGTGCATCTTACTATAAAAACAGTAGCTTTATTTGGGTTACAGAGCAGCTTCTTCATGCTTCTAGTAATGACACTTTTAAGAAGCAAGGATATGTTGGAACTAGATGATCTTAAGGTCCTTCCCAACCCTAACTATTCTATGATTCTACAATTCTTTGATGTGGCAGACTCATCACAGTGTGAATGCAACACACTCGATACAGCAGCTTTCTCTCAATGAACTTCTCGAGGAATTAGATAGTGACTGCTTAGGTGCAAAGTTACTCATCCATACGTAGAGGGAGAGCAGTCACTACCTGAAGATGTTGCTCATCCCTTATTCCCCAAAACACTGGCTTTTCAGCTGCAGATTTGTGCCCCATCCCTGGCAGTGTTCAAGGCCAGGTTGGACACAGGGGCTTGGAGCAAGCTGCTCTAGTGAGAGATGTCCCTGCCCATGGCAAGGGGTTGAAAATGGATGAGCTTTAGGGTCCCTTCCTACCCAAACCATTGCATGAGTCTATAAACCCCTCTTAATGCTTCTTCACTTCTTATTTCTGCAGACACTGAATTCTCTGCTGAGAATCCCCAGAGAAAGCACAGCAAGTCCAAGACTGGTTCTTCTCAAGTGCCCCAGCTCAGCAACTGGTCAGGCTCCAAACCTGTCCTACCTCCAATCCCACCAGGGCGGAAGAAGACCACCCGTTGATGGCCACTACTAGCCAAGCCTTTGTTGTGGTTACACTGAATCTTTCTGCCTAATAGGAACACTGATTTTTATATATCTATTTCTCTTCCACAAAGCAAAGTCTATCAAATATTATTCCTAAATCCATTTCTAATTAATTCTCCCCCCCAAAAAAGTTATGTATTTATAACTTGATGAAAAAGTAATTTCTCTATTTCCCAAAGCTAGAAATTATTTCCCCAGGCACTCCCAGCTGGGAAACGGTGTAGATTTTATTCCTAACAGCCACATGACCACATCTTCCATTAACTTCTCTCTTTTCTTCCTCTCCTACGTTATAAACTTAATTGAGGTGTGGGAGCATTGGGGTCTCTGTTAATATTGTCGATATTGTAGCAGTAGTGAATTACTTTGGAGGACTTTGTGAAATGTTCAGGGTTGAGTTGAGAGTTAAAACGACTTCCAAAACTCTTTGTTGCTAACAAAATGTGGTTTTCTGAAGGGATGAGTCCCAACTCTTGGATTTGCAAGTGTATTTAAACAACCCAGTGAGGAGCAATCAGGAAACCTCCATATAAGAGAGAGCCATATGAAGCTGTGAGTAGTGTGTGAACATTTGTTCTTATGCGGAGTAGGAGCTCTGACAAGTAAATAAACCCCTTGAATTAAGGTTTGTCCTGGTTAATTTCCATTACCATCTACTTAGAGAGCACATAGTGAAGCCCCTTTGCCCCAGCAGCTTCCCATGGGGAGGGGGCATTTGCTATTCCTATTGCAGCGTGGACCTTTGCATGCACAGAAGACAGCACAACTTGTTGCCACAGTGTGGAGTCATGCTCTGTGTGTTCACAGTGTGGCCAAGGGGTTTTGGTGATTAAATAGGATGACCTGACCGAAGGAGCTCAGCTCATGGTAACTAATGGATAGATACAGATAGCCTTGACCTTACATTCCAGTATAGCCTGGAAAACAACTCAGCTTTTTATTAGGTAGTTCCCTTTCCATAGAGCTCTTTCCAGCTGAAGAACAGCAGCACCTTTTTCATATCACTGACTGTGACAGAACAAAAAGCAAGGCTGCTCCATAGCCTGGTTTCAGAAGGAATTCAGAAGCTGCAGTTTCAACCTTAGTGGGTGTTTTGCCAATGCAGGTGGGTACCCAACTGCCACTGGACACCTACCCGACCTCCACAGCTTCTTCAGCAAACCACACAGGACTCCTCATGGCTTCATTCCCTCTGTAAATACCCTTGCAGAAGCTGGCCTGGCTGTTACAGTGGCTACGTGGAGCATTGATGTGGATGCTGATGGGTGTATTGGGCTTTGCTGGTTTAGAGGTGACAGTTTTGCCATGCACTGGACCAGACTGCTCTAAGGAAGTTGTGAATGCCCCATCCCTGGCAGTGTTTAAGGCCAGGTTGGACACAGGGGCTTGGAGCAAGCTGCTCTAGTGGAAGGGGTCCCTGGTTGTGGCAGGGGTTGGAGCTGGAGGATCTTTAGGGTCCCTTCCAACCCAACCCATGCCATGATTCTGCGGTTAATGGATATGTACAAGGTACCTCGTGGTTCATACACAGCAGGGCCAGGGGTGGTCACACCACCTCACTTAAGTTACACAGATAATGCAGTCAGTGCAGATAAATCAGTTTTCTCCAGGACACAAATGCAGAAACCCATGTTTAGGGGTCTGTAGCCCAAGTTCATGTCTGGAAAATAAGGGCAGTGGATAGTAAATAACACCCCAGTCACATCAGTGCCTCTTTTCCTTCCATTCCTGCCCAGTTCTCCAAGCTGACACCACTTCCACATTCAGCCCCAGCTCCCCACTCTCCCCTTGGAAAGGTTGCTTCCTTCTGTGTAAAACAGACCAAAACAGGACAAGTTATCCCTGAACTGTGATGAATCTCCTCTGCTTGAAGTGTGCAACCCTGCAAAAGAGCATTGCACGCCTTAAGCGAATGAGCACAGAGCTTCAAACTGCTCCTATTTACAGGAATGTCTTAAATGTGGAGCTCTTCAGTGTAGGAATTGTATCTCTATACAGGTGCAGTATAAATACATTACTCTTACTTCTGAGTTGTAAAATCCTTTGTTCTTTTGTGATCAGGGTATTGCATTTGTATCAGACAGTAATGTTTGAAGAGAATCTCCTATTTTGCAACCAGGTTTTGGGTCCTGAGCTTTCAATTACTTCCAGATGTGGCATGTTCAGTGGGGTTCATGGAATCATGGAGTGGTTTGGGTTGGAAGGGAGCTTAAAGTTCCTCCAGCTCCAACCCCTGCCATGGGCAGGGACACCTTCCACTAGAGCAGCTTGCTCCAAGCCCCTGTGTCCAACCTGGCCTTGAACACTGCCAGGGATGGGGCAGCCACAGCTTCTCTGGGCACCCTGTGCCAGCGCCTCAGCACCCTCACAGGGAAGAGCTTCTGCCTTATCTCCAACCTGAACTTCCCCTGTTTCAGTGTGAACCCATCACCCCTTGTCCTATCACTCCAGTCCCTGATGAAGAGCCCCTCTCCAGCATCCTTGTAGCCTCCTTCAGACACTGGAAGCTGCTCTGAGGTCTCCACGCAGCTTCTCTTCTCCAGGCTCAACAGCCCCAATGTTCTCAGCCTGTCTCCATTCAGGAGCTGCTCCAGCCCCTGAGCATCCTCATGGCCTCCTCTGGACTTGCTCCAACAGCTCCATGTCCTCCTTGTGTTGAGGACACCAGCACTGCACACAGTGCTGCCAGTGGGGTCTCACAAGGACCTTGCGTGGAAGCAGGACATGGGAATTTCTAAGGAAGAAGCTGAATTTGATGCCAATTCAGCCAAACACTCCGTTTCTTTCCTGCTTTCCCTGACCTTTCCCTGCTGTACTCTCACTCGCTCTCTTCCCACTCCCCAGCACACCACAGCTCAAGCTGCCACCCCGATTTACAAGGGTTCACCCCAAACTGCATGCTGCTGAGCTGCCCTTTGCCTCCTGCACCCTGAAGCAGGGAGCACCTGGTTGAGCCTGGAGACAGGAGTGCTGGTGGTTGCTGGTGGGTAAGGTTTACATTTCACTTAGCACATTGCTCCAGGGAGCCGTTTTGCTTGGCAGGAAGCGGTTGGGATCACAGCAGGGCAGCTTTGGGACCTTCAGTCCCTCCCAGTCAAACAAAGCTCTGAGGCTTGAGTTTTACAGAGGGGACTGTAACAAGCTGTTTAATTTCCCCCTTTTTAAGGGAAACATTCAATATGCAATAGGAACTGTGGTTGCTGCCTTGTGAACACAAATGGCTCTCCCAGCCACAGGGAGCTGAGTGCTTATCACACGTGCTGTCTCATAGCCCTGTGTTACGCAGGGGTAAATCACGGCAGAGGGAAATTGCACTGATCTGTGCTGTCCCAGGAGGTTTCCCATAAGAACTGGGTCAGAATCCAAGGATTCCATATCTCTGTTCAAATGCTGTGTCTTCGAGGTGAAGCACAGGAGACTGTGCCCATGCAAAAGCCTTTTGGGAAGCCAAGAGCAGCTCTTTCATCCTGATGCCTCCCCTAGGTCAGCAGCAAGGCGGTAGGAGTCCCAGTGCAGATGCTGCAGGACAAGGAGATGCTGAATGAAGGGATGGGGTGTTTGTCACACATAAAGGGGATGGTGTTTTCATACAGACCAGTGCCTGAAGGAGAGGCTATGAAGTTTTCTGGCTGTAAGTTTGATGCAGAGTGAAGAATTCCAGGGGCTGTAGAACTGGTCTGTACTGGAACCTGGACCTAGTGCAGGTAGAACTACTAGACATCTGCTGAGCGTGTCGAGCACTGAAGGCTGAGATGCTCCATGGACAATGACAGTGTGTAGGCAGCCAGGGCAACCTGCTGTGGGCTTGGTTAGAGGGCTGGTGATGGCTTGGACTCTCCAGCACCCATTCCCCACATTAGTAGCTGTATATTAAACAAATGGGTACAAAATGGTTGGGTTTGGAGCTCTGACCTCATCTCCCTGCCTCATTCCTCCGCTAACCCCACTGACACCAACCCTAGAACCACTGGTAGAGCAGCTACACCTGCCTATTGCATCCCTTTAACCGTGTCCTGCAGACAGATGAGGAATAGCTCCCAGCACTGACCAAAGGGCTGTTTGTTTCCCTGCAGATCACACACATCCATCTCCAACCCTGAAGCTCCATGTCATGCCCTGGCAGTGTCCGGCTGCCCCACTCCCTCTGCCTGCTCCCTCAGGAGCTTGTCTAAGGGAAGTTTAGATTGGATATAAGGAGGGAATTCTTTCCTGTTAGGATGGTGAGGCACTGGAATGGGTTGCCCAGGGAGGTTGTGAATGCTCCATCCCTGGCAGTGTTCAAGGCCAGGTTGGACGAGGGCCTTGGGTGATATGGTTTAGAGTGAGGTGTCCCTGCCTGTGGCAGGGGGGTTGGAACTTGATGATCTTAAGGTCCTTTCCAACCCTAACTATTCTATGATTCTATGATGCTGCATAACATACTGCTGTTTGGCAGCAGTCAACGTGAATTAGGGTTTCTTGTAACAGTCCTATGGGAGGGGGGTGAGGGGAGCTGCTGCTCAGTGTGATCACACCAACCACCCGGCTCCCTCTTTGATTCCCTCACTCAAGGGAGAGACAGTGGAGGGCTTGAAGGAGACCCATGAGGTCCTTCCCGGGTCTCACCCTGCACTGCTGGGGTGATGCTTCAGCAGCTCCAGCCTGCAAACTGCTTTGAGTTCCCCATTCATCTGCCAGTTGTCCCTTCTAATGCCAAGGTGTGTTTCACCAGCTTCTCCCCGTGGTGACTCTTCATCAGGGACTGGAGTGATAGGACAAGGGGTGATGGGTTCGAACTTAAACAGGGGAAGTTCAGGTTGGAGATAAAGAAGAAGCTCTTCCCTGTGAGGGTGATAAGGCACTGGCACAGGGTACCAAAAGAAGTGGTAGATGCTCCATCCCTGGTAGTGTTCAAGGCCAGGTTGGACACAGGGGCTTGGAGCAAGCTGCTCCAGTGGAAGGGGTCCCTGCCCTTGGCAAGGGGTTGGAACTGGAGGAGCTTTAAGGTCCCTTCCAACCCAAACCACTCTGGGGTTCTATGGTCTATGGGTCTGGAGCCCCTGGCACCGAGTCAGCCCTGCACGCCCTGCGCAGGCTCCGCACTAAATCCTGCTGCTCGGACAAAGCCTTTCAGTAACCCTCACAAAGTATTTCAAGCTTCTGAGATATTTTCCATGCCTCGTGTAAGGCAGGGACAGGGGAACCTCGGGGCTGAGCCTCAAACCCACTTTCCTGCAGGGAGGAGGCGGCTCCTGCATTTTTATCATGCATGCTCTTCCCTGCACGTACCCCAGAGCAAGTAGAAGCACGCAGATGTAAATCAGCGCCCATCACAGAGGCATCTCTCCACAGTGATAAATCCCCCATGCTGAGGGTCCTCCCAGAGATCACTGCTGGAGACCCCAATTTCGAGACCCATCTGAGACCCGGCTTCAGTGTGTGCTTGAGCCCAGAACCCCCCCGTGTGCTGGGCTGCACCCCCAGAGCGTGAGCAGCAGCTCAGGGAGGGGATCCTGCCCCTCTGCTGTGCTCTGGGGAGACCCCCCCTGCAGTCCTGATCCAGCTCTGGGGCAGCAGCACAAGAGGGACGTGGAGCTGTTGGAGCGAGTGCAGAGGAGGCCATGGAGATGCTGCAAGAGGGATTATGGAACTTCATCTTCCCCTTTGCAGTGGTCTGAAGGCCTTGATGTACACAGCTAAGCACCAGCTGTCTCAGCTTAAGACTCCACCAACTTCAGCTCTGTATGCTAAGAACTACATGGCCAGGTTGGACAGAACCTTGGGTGACACCTAGTGTGAGGTGCCCCTGCCCATGGCAGGGGGTTGGAACTGGATGATCTTAAGGTCCTTTCCAAGCCAAACTCTTCTATGATTCTGTGATTCGACATAAGCCAGACAAAACCAAAGGAATTCAGTTAAAGGAATTCAGCTAACCAAACTTAACCAACAACAAAGGACCCTGTGTTTAAGAAGGACACAGTTTAAGCCCCTCAGTTTAAGGACAGGGACCTGCTGGAGAGAGTCCAGCGCAGGGCAACTAAGATGATGAAGGGAGTGGAGCATCTCCCTTATGAGGAAAGATTGAGGGAGCTGGGTCTCTATAGTTTGGAGAAGAGGAGATTGAGGGGTGACCTTATTAGTGTATATAAATATATAAAGGGGGAGTGTCCCGAGGATGGAGCCAGGCTCTTCTCAGTGGCAAACAATGAAAGGACAAGGGGTAATGGGTACAAACTGGAACACAAGAGGTTCCACTTAAACCTGAGAAGAAACTGCTTCTCAGTGAGGGTGACGGAACACTGGAACAGGCTGCCCAGGGAGGTTGTGGAGTCTCCTTCTCTGGAGACATTCAAAACCCGCCTGGACACGTTCCTGTGTAACCTTATCTAGGTGTTCCTGCTCCGGCAGGGGGATTGGACTAGATGATCTTTTGAGGTCCCTTCCAATCTCTAACATACTGTGACACTGTGAGATGGATGGTCCCTGCTTGGTGCTGCAGAGAGGGAAGGAGAGGCACAACACGGTGTCTGCTGGCACCACAGGCTGATGGCGCATCACTGGTTGAGCTGCCATTCCCTGTCAGCCTCTATGGATGAGGAGCAGGAAGAGGGGATTTGGGGAAGGCAGTTCCTCACCCCATGGCAGCATCGAGGCTGATGTTGGACTGAACCACAGATGGGGCCACACATTCTGGGTAGGATCACCAAGCCCTGGAGGACACGTGAGGAGCCCATGGGGTAGGGGAGGCCTGGGGGTGCTGGTGCTCAAGGGCACTCCAGAGGTGTTTCAGTGCAGGAGGGATGGGTTTTCCCCTCAAACCCCAGCCAGGCTCAGTCTCTCCTATCTTCTCTCCTGTAACAGCAGGACAAGTTGTGTGCTGATTTCAGAGCCCCAGGAATTACTTGACTTCGGAGCTCTGTGTATTTTCCAGTCACCAGCAGCTGATTCCAGTAGCACAGCATGGATGGAGACAGCATGGATGGAGAAACCCGACATACTCTGAAGAGGATACAGATTTATTTCACGTTCTAAAAACCCAACAAAAGCATCACCCTAAACCCAACCAACCGACCCAGAAGCTCAACACTGATCAAAAAGCCTTCTGGCTCACCCACTTTTCCAGCCTCTGCTGAATAATCTGTGCTATTATCCCTAGAACATTAAAACCAAGCACATCAGTAGCCCTGTTTTCTGGGGGGAGAAACCTGGATTTAAATACTACTTTCAGCCCCTTCTTCATGGACACAACTGGGCAAGCTCAGTGCTCTCCTGCAGCAGGAAGGGAATCACTGCATCTTCTATGACACTGTAAGAGTTATAAATATACAGAAAGACACGAGTCACATAAAAATACCCCTGACAACAATGAATCCCAACCCATTGTTGACACTTGGTATGAGAGAAGGCCAAGGACAGCACATGGCTAAAAGAAGGAAACCCCAATAGCCCCGAATGAACCAGTAGGACAGGAACTGGAGACAAGATGTGATCTTGAAACAAAGAGTGACCTGGTGAGTGTCTATGTACAGGTTACTCTCACTCAGGCACTGCTCAGCTATTGCTCTGCTAAATCCCCACCACTTACTCAGTCTCTGATGCTGAATTGGTGGTGCCTTCTCCTCTCTCCCCATTGCAGCTGAAGCTCTGTGTTAACAGCTTTGAGGAGCAATACCCTTCATCCTGGAGCCCATGCAAGGAGATGGAAGGGGGAGCTGACCCATAGGAGGTGCTGGGAACCAGTGTCCCCCTCTATTGAATCCTTGGACACATGCCATGTCTGACACTCAAGAACTAAGAGGATTCCCAGGCTCAGGAAAATCAAAACCCTTCACAGCACCTCAGGAAGGAGCCGTGGGTCCCATCAGCATCATACCACTGTTGGGATGCAGTTAATCATTTCCAGAGTGGTCCATACACTGCTGGGCTTTGGGTTGGTGGCTAAAACCATACTGACAACACACCAGTGCTTCAGCACTTGCACTGCATCAAGGCTTCCCCTTTTCCACTCACCAATGATTAGACTGTGGTGAGCAAGAAGCCAGGAAGGGGCATGTCTGTGGCACAGGTAAAAAACAGCAACCAAACCATCACGGAGGAGGTTTTGGAAAGGTGGCCATTGCTCAGGATGGGCTGGATACAGCTCTAACAGTGGGAGATGGGTTGGAAAGCTATTGGGATGCTGGGTGGTGGAGTAACAGTCCGTCCTTGGCCAAGCTGGACGTGAATGAAGTTGACATTCTGGATCCTTTAACTATCACAGCAGAGCAGGGACAGCATCATGAGGATGGGAACAAGGTGCTCCAGGACAACTGAGGCAGCACAAAACAGTGCTCCTTGTGCTCCAAAGCTGAGACAATTTGCTCTGCCCACCACTGAGCAGCTCCCAGAAGAGCTGCAGCTGCTGCTCCTCGAATTGCTGGCCACACATTGCCTGCACTCACACATCCAAAGCTCTTGGAGGCACCAATCCTGCACCAGTTGGATGCTGCTACGATGCACAGAAATGCCACAAGCGATGCTGATGCCCAAGGGGCCGGAGAAGAGATCCAGGTGAAGGGACAGTAAAACCAGCCCCCAGCAGCAGAAATAAGCTCAGCTGTACTGGCCCTTAAGTTCCTTGGCATCATTTGAACCCTGAGGTGGGGCTGGATCTGGGGGGGATCATGGGTGCACTGGGGGCTCAGCACAGGCTGTTGTTAACAAAACCCACTGTACATGACTGTGATAAGGGGAAAAGTGGGAAGCAACTGGAAAGTGACCTCTACTGAAGACCTAACAGGGGCAGGAAGAACCCAGGACACCTTCTGGCTGGTGAAGTATCACAGCAACACCTGAGGACTCTGATCTAGCTGAAGATGTCCCTGCTCACTGCAGGTGGGTTGGACTGGATGAGCTTAGAAGGTGCCTTCCAACCCCAACCATCCTATGAATCAGCAAAGCCTCAAAGCACTTCAACTACTCCCTGCTGTCAGTGATGGGAACTTGCTGGCTTGGGAATCAGCCCCCTGAGCCACTCCCCAGTGAAGGACCTACTGGGCAGACTGGAAGGCTCTACAGGAGCAGAGCACAGGGGTAACAGGATCAGGTTAACAGCCAGGCCTGGAATCTCCAGTGTAACCAACAACCTGCTGCACACATAGCAGCTCCCCTGGACATTAAAGGATGGCACCAAAGAGGCTCAGAGCCCAGCTCATTGAAGGTGGAAGGGTGGACAACAGCACCACAAGGCTGGGCTCCTAAAGGAGAACTGGGTCAGCTTTTCCATTACTTACAAAGGGTTCTTCAAATGGGAAAACAGGGGGAGAAGTTGGAAGCGAAAAGGGTTGCAAAAATAACCACATTGTCCCTCCATGATCCATTTCAGTGGGTTCCCAGGGGAGGCTCCATGCTTCCCAGGAGCTTGGCACAGCCAACACCTCCCCTGTGTTAGAAAACAACCCCTTCTGGGGCATTCCCTGCTGCTCTGCTCTATAAAACAATAAAAAGGTCCCTGCAGAGAGGTCCCAGGCTGTTACTCCTCCTTTGACCTCCTCCTCCAGCGAGCCAGGAAGGGCCCGAGGCTGTTCCACACCTCGGTGTACATGAGAGTCCCCATGAAGACGAAGGCAGTGCCCAGCCAGTGCCAGGCTGTGAAGGGGTTGTGGAAGTAGAGGATGGAGAAGATGAGGCTGACGAACTTGCGGAGCGTCACCACCAGTGTGACCGTGAGGGAGGTGCACTCCGTGGTGAGGATGAACACGCCGCGGATGCAGACGTACCTGGAGAGGGGAGGTAAGGAGACATCAGGGATGAAGAAGGAGGACACCTTGGAAAGGCTTTGGGAATGAGGAGTGGGCAATGAGCAACCCAAGTCTGGTTATAGAGGGAATAAGGTTCCCTTCTCCTCACATCAGTTGTCTCCACAGCTGTGAACAGCTTCACTGCAAACCCCAAAGACACCCCAAATCTACCCCCAACCCTGCTCTGGGCCAGCAAAACTACTCCAGTCCAGGAGCCTGGTGAAAGGTTGATGGCACACACGGTTTACAGTCCCTGCCATAGAGTCAAGGGAAGCTAAATCCAGACCTTATGGAATGGTTTGGGTTGGAAGGGACCATAAAGCTCCTCCAGTTCCAACCCCTGCCACGGGCAGGGACCCCTTCCACTGGAGCAGCTTGCTCCAAGCCCCTGTGTCCAACCTGGCCTTGAACACTGCCAGGGATGGGGCTGCCACAGCTTCTCTGGGCACCCTGTGCCAGCGCCTCAGCACCCTCACAGGGAAGAATTTCTGCCTTATATCCCATTTAACTCCATCAGCAGAAGTTCCCTTTCCCCTTGAGGGGGTATGGGAAAGGCAGATTAAATAAGGGGGTTTCATGGATGAGCCTAAGCAGCAACTTATGTTCTCTGCACAGTAAAAGGAAAATGGTAAGAGGGTCTCAGATGAAGGGTCCCTTTCTTGAGGGCATCTCAGCTCCATCAGACTTTCAGACCTCTCCTCTCTGCCTGGAAGCCTCTACACTGACATATTCCAGATAGCTCCTGATGTGTCCCTTCTACCTAGAGCTGGCTGGCAAAACTGTAGTGAGTTTACCCCAGTGAGCCTGTCCCTGGGGAGGTGGTGCCAGATTTCAGCTACCCTGGAAAAAACCATAAGCCCCAGGTTAAATTCCACTCTCTGTTATCCAAGTTACACACACATCTGCTCCCAAACACAGGGAAGACTCCAAGGACTTTATATCCCCCCCTCCATTGCTCCTCTCCCACCCCACTGCCATCTCCGTGGCGTCTCAAGCTGTGCCTTCAAAGGATACTGAGTGATGACGTTCATGAGGAGGTAGAACCACATGATTGGCAGGGTCAGGCCGATCACTGGGACCTGGAATGGCTCTGCAGGGAGAAAGGATGGAGCAAGGTCACTGCCTCCTACTAAAGATGATGCACAGAGAAACAGCTCTATCCCATCCAGGACTGACCACTGCACCTTCAGGAGGCTGTTGCTGTGTTAGGCAGGATGAGGTTTGATTTTGGAGAGTTATCTTGTTCCTACTTTGGTAAATGACAAATGCCAGAGTTTGCAGATAAGCTTTGTCTTGGTTTCTTCAGGGCTGTCCTACTGTTAAAACTGGATCAATCAACTGTGTGGCTCTGAGAGGGCTAACACAGCAAAGCCAATGCAGCACCAGCAAAAGAAGAGCCAGTGGGTCTTTGTTTACACCTGGGTCCTGCTGCTCCCATTTCTGAACCCTCTCACAGGGAAGAGCTTCTGCCTAAGAGCTCAGCTCAGTCTCCCCTCGGGCAGGTTCAAGCCATTCCCCTTGGCCTGTCCCTACAGGCTCTTGTCCCAAGCCCCTCTCCAGCTTTCCTGCAGCCCCTTTAGGCACCGGAGCTGCTCTAAGGTCTCCCCTTCAGGAGCCTTCTCTTCTCCAGGCTGCCCCAGCCCAGCTCTCTCAGCCTGGCTCCAGAGCACAGGTGCTCCAGCCCCCAGAACATCTCCATGGCCTCCTTTGGACTCGCTCCAGCAGCTCCACGTCCCTCTTGTGCTGCTGCCCCAGAGCTGGATCAGGACTGCAGGGGGGTCTCCCCAGAGCACAGCAGAGGGGCAGGATCCCCTCCCTCACCATAATGACAGAGTTGAGAACCAGAAGCTTTCTGCTGCTGGAAAGCCTGTTGAATTTCACTTGAACACCCTACGACAACAGTCTGATGTGCAAAACTGCTGGAATGAAAGCTTCCTGTGGCATTTTCCAGAGGACAGAAAGGTGTGAGAGCAAGGATCCATCTGTGCAGCACTTACCTGACTGGCTGAAGAGGACTGCATGGTGGTAGATGTTGGGGGCAAGAAGCAGAAAGCCAGGGAGTGGTAACGCGTGCTGGAGAGAAAAGACATGATGTTAACAGGTTATGTGCACCCAGCCCACTTCTCATGCTGGGAAAGCAGCCTCACACATGTGGATGAGAGCACACACTTCCCTGCTCCAGCTCTGCAGTGTGTCATCCTTCAGATTTGTGCTGTGTATGGGATGGGAAGGAATTCTCTCAGCAGTTCTGTCTGCCCACTAAAAGCAACAGGAAGGAGGTGGTGACTCACATTGTAAAACAGGGCCTCTTTGGAGTGCTTCCCAAACCGCTTGTACAGAGTCTCCTGGAAAATCCCCATCCTGGCGGACATGAGGAGTGCGAAGGTGAGTGCAGCAATACCTGGAAGAGAAGCACAGCCTTGCCACACTGCTCTAGCATGGCACAGCTCAGGTCAACCAGCCTGAAGGTTGGCTTTCAGTCAGTCCAGACTTGGTAAAACTGGTAACGGCCTTTGGGACACATGCACTCAGTGTCTCACTCCCTTCCCAGGGAAGAGCTTCTTCCTTCAATCCAACCTGAACTTCCCCTGTTTCAGTTTGAACCCATCACCCCTTGTCCTATCACTGCAGTCCCTGATGAAGAGCCCCTCTCCAGCATCCCTGTAGCCCCCTTCAGACACTGGAAGCTGCTCTGAGATCTCCACGCAGCTTCTCTTCTCCAGGCTGAACAGCCCCAGTGTTCTCAGCCTGTCTCCATATGGGAGCTGCTCCAGCCCCTGAGCATCCTCATGGCCTCCTCTGGACTTGCTCCAACAGCTCCATGTCCTCCTTATGTTGAGGACACCAGAACTGCACACAGTGCTGCAAGCGGGGTCTCACCAGAAGAGAGCAGAGGGGCAGGATCACCTCCTTTAAATATTGAATGAACACTTGAATCAGCCACAGCCCATTCCCCTCTCTGCAGTCTATCTCATAGCATCAGGTGTGTCAGGTAGGTACCTGCAAACATGCATGACTGCAGTCTCACTTTGGCACTAAACCACTACCTTGAAGTACTGCTTAGATGCCCTATTTACCTCATTTGACAAATGAAGAGCATCTCCTTGCACAAAGCTGCTGATGGGTGCCCCAACACCTATTTCTTTGCAAGCCAACATCCACTAGATTCTCAGCACAACTTAAAACCAGCACAGGGACTCCCAGCACCATCTGGCTCACACAAGCCACATAGACCTTTAAGGACGTCAGAGAGCTGAGTCTTGACCCGGCAAGGTCAGCTGGAGATGCGACACTCACCTAGCAGCCACCACAAGAAAACCTGGAGTCCATCCTCTTCGTTTAAGCTGGAGTCGGATGCCTGGTGGAGGGAGACACAACACAATCACATTGAACCACCATGTCCCTGCAGCTCAACCTGCCTGTACCTCACTCTTGGCTGGTGTGTTGTATTCCAAGCAAATCCAAGCCCTCATATTCTCTGAACAGAGGTGGCAGCGGGACTGGAGCACCTCCCATATGAAGATAGGCTGAGAAAGTTGGGGCTGTTCAGCCTGGAGAAGAGAAGGCTGCGTGGAGACCTCATAGCAGCCTTCTAGTATCTGAAGGGGGCCTATAGGGATGCTGGGGAGGGACTCTTCATTAGGGACTGTAGTGATAGGACAAGGGGTAATGGGTTAAAACTTAAACAGGGGAAGTTTAGATTGGATATAAGGAGGAAATTCTTTCCTGTTAGGGTGGTGAGGCACTGGAATGGGTTGCCCAGGGAGGTTGTGAATGCTCCATCCCTGGCAGTGTTCAAGGCCAGGTTGGACGAGGCCTTGGGTGATATGGTTTAGAGTGAGGTGTCCCTGCCCATGGCAGGGGGGGTGGAACTTGATGATCTTAAGGTCCTTTCCAACCCTAACTATTCTATGATTCTATGACTACAGCACACTCTGCTTTCCATTCTGCTCAGGGAATGCACCAGATTCCAGCAGAAAGTGTAAAAGTCTGACCAAGAAAGCAGCTTTTCTGAAGTGAACACCCTAGCTTAGCAAAAGACTGAACACTTCAACCACAAAAGTGATCAATGACACTTAGAAAGCTCTCAGAGAGCCCATCAGCTCATCTGTCCTCATCTCAGAGATGAGTGTGCAGGAAAGAACAAGGGGTTTGGGCAAGACCCAGTCAGGTATTAAACCAGGGTTCTGGCTTGCAGTGAAGACACTGAGGAAACCAGGCCTGTAGAGGCTGTTAGCTGAGGGCAAAACTCCAGGTAGCATGCCTTGGCTCGACTCTTTTCCACTGTAGTTTAGGGCAAATTAGATGAACTCACCTTTGCCACAACTGCCTGCACTATCCCACAACTCCATGGGTTAACACAGAGCAAAGCTGCACTGCACAGACCTTCTCAGACATTCTAAGGACATGAAAAGCAATTCAGTGATGAGGAACTTGGAGTTTTGACAGCAGGTCTCTCAGAGCCGGATAAAGTGCAACCCATTTTCACTTGACCACCACTTTATGCCATTTTCCTGTCTTCAGTTGACAAGACCAGGTTGTAGGTGCTGACCCAGGAGGAACAGCCCAAAGTGGTGTTACATAGGGTTTTTTTTCATTCCTCCTGTTCTCCAAATGCATGCACTTTATTTCAAGGGTCACAGAAAGTTACATTGGATGAGAACAGGTCTGGAATAAGCTAGCCTGAAAGCTGACAATCGCTTCTGGGATAAAAGAGCAAAGGCTTAAGATGGATGAGTTTTGTTAAAGATTCACTACTCCTACTGCAACACATCACAGTAAAACAGCTTCTAAGTGTTACAGATAATGGTTTTGTGTTGGCAAAAAGCAACCTGAACAGGTTAAAGGGCACCTGTAATTAAGCTAAACCACACATACGTGTGTATCCCTCCCTTCCAAACCACAGGAAAATTAAATCGGGAACAAGAGCTTTTGGGACGCAGATTTAGAGCCAGAATACATTTTATCTTTCCATTAATAGTCAAGCAAAGGGAATTACTGATGAAGGTGCTGACAACAGCTCCTCCTGTCAATAGGGTTCACAGCTCTGCCCTCAGGCCCTTTCCAATCCTTACCACTTGCTTTGCAGACATGAAAGTGCAGGTGAAGATCCCCACGGACACCAGGGCTATGGATGTGTATTTAGATACGCTGTATCTGCATAGGGGGAGAAGAGAGATGTCAGTGACCCAGCTCAGCCTTGTGTCATTCATCTACTGCTCTCTTGCATCATGTTTAGCTCCATTACACTGGTGTGAACATGGAGTAATGGGCACATATCCATTACCTAACACTGATGGGAAGACAGAAGGTCAACTCACTCCGACAGCAACAAAAGAGCATTTGGACCAAGATCTCCTTGCCTGTGGCAGAGGATCCCTCTTGGACATCTGCGTAGTAATGGAGTGGCAGAAGATGTGCTCATGCTGCTCCAACAGCCAGACCCTAAAGTACTGGGAGGACCCTCCTGACCTGATGTGGATCCCAACAGCAGCCAAGCACCTACACAGCACTTACTCATTCCCCCAACCCCATGGGATGGGGCAAGAACAAGAAAATTCATGGCTTGAGCTAAAGAGTTTAGTAGGTGAGGGAGGAAAATAAAACCCCCAAAACATGCAAAAGCAATCACTCATCACCTCCCACAGGCATGGCCATCTTGAAGCCAATTCCTCCCAACCTTTTCTTCCTCTACCCTGGTTTCTATTGCAGCACACATTAAGTGGCACAGAATATCCCTTTGGCCATGTTGGGTCAGTTGTCCCAGCTGTGTCTCCTCTCAGCTTGTTGTCCACCCCCAGCCTATTTGCTAGGGATGCAGAGTGGGAAAAACAGAGTCTTGACACTGTGTAAGCACTGTTCAGCAACAGCCCAAACATCAGTGCTATCAACACTGTTCTAGCCACAAATCCCAAACACAACACCATATGGGCTGCTATGAAGAAAGTTAACTCCATCCCAGCCAGACCAGTACAACCATCCATCAGGAGTGGTACTGGCCTCACAGAAGCGAAAGAAGTGAGCTAACACAGAAGGCTGCAGTGATGTGTTAATCTCTCTTTTCAATCCATGCTTGAGTTAAATGAAGGAGTGAAGGGTGGTGGGAATGCAAGAGGGAACTATTCCAGCCTCTAGTTCAGGCATACCTTTATGTCCCAGTTTCCCCACCAGTAAACCAAGAATATTTAACAGGAGAGGGCACTAAGCAGTCAGGATTAAGTCAATGGCAAAGCATTCCCTGGTGATGTAAAAAGAGGTTTTGATTTACCTTTTCTTCAAAATGATGATACCTAGAGCCATGCTTGCTATGAGAGAACCCTGGGGAGGAAAAGAAAGAGGATTAAAACAAAAGAGAAGGTCAGTATGACAAAGTTCCTTGCACTGGCATGCAGAAAAACACCACAAACTCGATATAACTAATGCCAAAGCATCAATGGACGTGCCAGAACAGGATCAGGCAGACTGGCAAGGTGGGGACAAGACAAGACAACTTCAAGTTGTGCCAGGGGAAGTTTAGATGGGAGATTAGGAACAATTCCTTCACCCAAAGGGTTGTTAAGCACTGGAACCTGGAAGAGGCTGCCCAGGGAAGTGGTGGAGTCACCATCCCTGGAGGGACTGTTTTGACATACAGTGTGGCATTTAGGGACATGGTTTAGTGGTGGACTTGGCAATGCTGGGGAACAGTTGGACTTGATGATCTTAAAGATCTTTTCTAACCTAAATGATTCTATGAGTCCCACTTCAGTTAGGAGGAGAGGAGAACCTGAGCTGGGTGGCTTGGGAACAAGGACGCTGGGGCAAACAGACTACTGGATCTTCCCCATTTTTGGCTCCCTCGTGACATTCAGTGTGTGCTACAGACCAGAACCTGCTGTGGTTTTAATGGGGAACAGAACTATGGCTCCACAGATTGACTGCAGGGCTGCAATACAAGAACCATCCATTACGGTTCATGCAGGACAGGTCTCTGAATGTTGTCTGGTTTTCTTCTTCTTAACCTCTCCTGACTCCAGGTATCTCAACTCCATGGTGTGCTGTGGGAGAACAGTAGATCTGCCCAGCAGATTCTGCTATTCCAAATAGCTGGGACTTCATCTTCTTTGGTTTTAACAGATATTGTAGCCTGGTGCTCATCTACACTTCAGTAAAGATGGGTTTTAATAGCACTTTCCAAAGCAAAGACAATGCAGTAACAGTGGAGGTGGAACTAAGCCAAATCCATGCTCTCTGACCTTCAGTGTTTAACCAAGACACCTACACTAGGACATGGACCACTTGTTGTAGCTGCATGAAGGAAAGGAAAGCTGGATGCCCTTGGCCAGGATTCAGTTCATTCAGAGGTGACAGCCAGAGTCTGGGCTTGGTTTTATCACTTACTTCCCCATCACCTTTGAAATATAAAGCCTGGTTGAGCCCCTTTCCTTGTCTATCCATTAAGTTGAAATATAATGATCAACACTGTGAAAGTTAGAATTGGAACTGAGCCTTCAGAGGAAAGTTGCTCTCCCCACTAATTACATGGAGTTTATTACTATTTCCACAGGAGTTTGGTGCCCTTAGAGAAAGAGAGGGTGGCAAAACACATGCAGGGACAGTGCTTGCAGAGGTAAAAGGAAGAGATGTCACATGAGGAGGAAAAGGATGACAGTACTCACCGATCTGAAGATCATGTGCAGTGGCATGGCGATATTTAAGTTCAGGGCATAGTTATTCACCACACTGACAGTGAAGAACATGGCCACCATAGTGAAATAGTACCTGAAACACAGAAACAACATAAGCCAGCTGATAGCTGTGCATATACATCCCTGGGATGCTGGAAGTCACCTTGGGAACAGACTTTGGGTTGCAAGGAAAAGTCTGGAGCGGAGCAGGAGCCCTAGCTCTTGGGGCTGTGACAAGGAGATCAGTCCCCTTTGGATGTAAAGGGCAAGCCCCTAGGACAGGAAGCAACCTGACCTACACTGACTCAACCTGTGCTAACTCCAGAAGCAAAGGGGAGCTGAGGATACTCTGCATGAGATCTTTTAGCATGGACTTCTTCCGTACCCCTCTTTTCTGAGGGCAGTGGCATAAGACAAGGCTTGATTTGAATCAATGTCTTCCAGCAAGCATCACTATCCTGAGTGGAAGGAGAAACCATTCAAATCCAGGCTGAACACCACCTCCATGGTTCTACACCTCCACAAACTATAGTTCCTTGTTGTGACACGGCCACGAATGGCACTAAACCTGCCCTCAACTTCCTGTCATGAGGATCTCTGTCCCAACACTCAGCTGCCACAGGCAGTCTGCTAAGGAACCCCGCTAAACCTCTTCACTTCACCCACTGAGTGCCAAGGAGGAGAGCAGGAACGTGCCAGCCCATTGCCAGGACAAGATCAGCCCTGATGGAGAAATGTAGAAGTGAGTTTGTGTTTCCAGTAAACCTCTCCCTCCCACACTCATTGCACCAAGCCTCAAAGACACAGCAAAGCTCTTCAAAACACAGCCAACTCTTCAGTGTGCAAAAGAGTGCCCTATTGCTTGGACAGGGAAGTATCTGATGGCAATTTCCTATTGAGAATTCTCATAAAAAGAGGAGTTCATCTTTTATCAGGCACGACAGGTTCTCAATGTGGCTTCACAAACACTGCAGAATGGATGGGATTTAGACAGAATAAATTGATAAGCCATTTGATTAAACACTTTTGGAGATAACAGATAACTAGACAATTCGTGCCTAGCAAAAGTGTTTGGAACAACTATACCTTATTGGTATGGCTGGCTTCTTCCTCCCAAAGTTGGTTTCGAAGATAAAGCCTTCCACTGCAATAAATAGGAACTGGGAGAATGTCACTATGTTCCCACATCCTGGAAACTGCCTGCAGAAAGGGGAAGAAAGACAAGCATCAGAGCAATGCCACGGAGAACAAACACTGCATAGGGATCTGAGAAAAAGGGGCTCACAGCTCATAATTCCAGAGTGAGCATCAACCTGGAGAGGCTTTACTGCTTTATCTGTCTAGGTTCTCACGTTGCCTTTGTTCAGCACCTCCCTGCAGGTATTATTCATCTGTGCTTGTAAATACATGTGCAGCAATCTCTTCCTCAAACATTACCAAAGAGGTCATAAGCAGCCATCCCCACTGGTGAGGCTGCACCTCAAATCGTGTGTGCAGTTCTGGGCCCCTCACTGCAAGAGAGACATTGAGGGGCTGGAGTGGGTCCAGAGAAGGGCAGCGGAGCTGATGCAGGGCCTGGAGCACAGGGGTGATGGGGAAGGGCTGAGGGACCTGGGGGGTTCAGTGTGGAGAAGAGAAGGCTCAGGGGGGACCTGATGGCTGCCTCCAACTGCCTGACAGGAGGATGGAGCCAGGAGGGGCTGGGCTCTGCTCCCAAGGAACAAGGGATGGGACAAGAGGAAACGGCCTCAAGCTGCACCAGGGCAGGTTTAGATGGAGCTGAGGAACAATTCCTGCCCCAGAGGGTGCTCAGGCATTGGAACAGGCTGCCCAGGGCAGGGCTGCAGTCACCGTCCCTGCAAGTGTTCACACAGCGTGGAGACGAGGCCTCAGTGCCATGGGTCAGTGGTGGCCTTCGCAGTGCTGGGGAGCGATTGGGCTGGATGAGCTTAAAGGGCTTTTGCAACCTGTGATCATGGGTCAAGTGGTAAATTTGGTCTGGAAGTGAAAGACGAAACTGGTCGCATCTCAGAGCTCTGTACAACATCCTGCAGGGTGCAGGGTGTGAATGAGCAACATCACACACTTGACTTAACCATGGTTATGGATCTTTCCTTTTCTCATAGGGAAGTGAGAAAACGAACACGAGCCGGCTTCAGTGTGCACTTGCAGCCCAGAAAGCCAACCATATCCTGGGCTGCATCAAAAGGAGCGTGACCAGCAGGTCAAAGGAGGTGATCCTGCCCCTTTATTCTGCTCTCGTGAGACCTCACCTGGAGTATTGTGTGCAGTTCTGGTGTCCTCAACATAAAAAGGACATGGATCTGTTGGAACAAGTGCAGAGGAGGCCACGAGGAGGATCAGGGGCTGGAGCACCTCCTGTATGAAGACAGGCTGAGAAAGTTGGGGCTATTCATCCTGGAGAAGAGAAGGCTGCATGGAGACCTACTAGCAGCCTTCCAGTATCTGAAGGGGGCCTGCCTACAGGGATGCTGGGGAGGGACTCTTCATTAGGGACTGTAGTGATAGGACAAGGGGTAATGGGTTAAAACTTAACCAGAGGAAGTTTAGACTGGATATAAGGAGGAAATTCTTTCCTGTTAGGGTGGTGAGGCACTGGAATGGGTTGCCCAGGGAGGTTGTGAATGCTCCATCCCTGGCTGTGCTCAAGGCCAGGTTGGACGAGGCCTTGGGTGCCATGGTTTAGAGCGAGGTGTCCCTGCCCATGGCAGGGGGGTTGGAACTTGATGATCTTAAGGTCCCTTCCAACCCTAATTATTCTATGATTCTATGATATGGCTCTCCCTGCCTACAAGCTGCTGTACTTTTTAGAGGCCAGGTGAAATGATGAATCCACCCAGAAGGAAGGCAGCAGGATTTCCAAGAGCACTTATTTCCACTGTATGAGGGAAGTGCCAAGCTCAGGTCCGTGCCTGCAGAGCAAGGTGTAGTATCTGTGGTTCTGCTTATATCATAAGCCACAAAGCAGTGTCTGACCTTGAAAAAGACCTTCTTAGCTGAGCATCTTTCTTCTCCCAGAGACCCAGGCACTGCAGCCATCACTGCCTTTGTAGTGGAAATGACACCACCTCTGAGCAAATCAACCTCCTGTTTATTCTGAGGGAAGAATCATAGAATGGTTTGGGTTGGAAGGGACCTTAAAGCTCCTCCAGTTCCAACCCCTGCCACAGGCAGGGACACCTTCCACTGGAGCAGCTTGCTCCAAGCCCTGTGTCCAACCTGGCCTTGAACACTGCCAGGGATGGGGCAGCCACAGCTTCTCTGGGCACCCTGTGCCAGTGCCTCAGCACCCTCACAGGGAAGAGCTTCTGCTTTATATCTAACCTAAATCCCCCTTGTTTAAGTTTAAATCAATTCCCCTTTGTCCTAACACTACTATCCCTGATGAAGAGGAACTACACACAAGCCCACAACAGCTTGACAATCCACACTCCCTGCATGGTGATCCTACAGACATGCCCACTGCAGAGCCTGCCTCCTTCCTAAGAAGCTTACAGGCAGCAGGAGAGGATTTCCTGGAGGCACACAGTCAGCTGTGGGCTCAGAGGAGGCCGTGACATGTCACATAATCAGAAAGCTCCCTGTTATTTGCAGCAGGAAATGGGAATTTAAGTGAGTACTTCCCCTATCTCTGCTGCAAGACAGAAACTGAGGCCAAGGTACTTCATGGAGAAGCTGCACCCCACTGAGTCCTGATCCTCACCCTGGTGCACAAGCATGCAGCTTGATCACACAGCACCCCATCCCAAGTAGGTAGAGGCTGGGTCTAGACACAGTTTTGTAGAATCCCAGAATCCCAGAGTTGTTTGGGATATTAAGATCATTCAGTTCCAACCCCTTGCTATAGGAAGGGACACAGCACATTAGACCATGTCGCCCAAGGCTCTGTCCAGCCTGGCCTTGAACACTGCCAGGGATGGTGCACTTACCACTTCTCTGAGCACCCTGTGCCAGCGTCTCAGCACCCTCACATTAAAGAACTTCTTCCTTATATCTAGAATACAGAATGCAGCTGAGGGATGCACTGGAAAACCAGAATAACCAAGCTGTCTCCTGGGTAGCAGAGCCAAAGGCCTGATCTCCAAAATCTCCTCTGTCACCTCCCAAGACTTCTCAGAAGCAGCAGCACTGGATAACGCAGAGCTGGCAAGAGGTTGCCACCTAAGAGCACTTGAAAAGGCCACCTTCTCCCTGCATTTTCCATGGGGTAGGCACTAGCCTGAGCCCCTCCTCTCTACCCACCTGCCAATATTCCCATTTTTCAGAGCTCCATCACCCATAAGACCTCAATTCCTGCTGTGCAATGAGGTTAAGAGGTTCAGAAGTGACTTGGGGAAGTGAAGAGATACTGAACAGTAGAGAGAGGCCAGGCTCCAGGGTTGTAAACTTTATCTCTATAGGGGAATACACAGCACGTGTAAACTTGGAATAGATCCAGACTGTTCCCATGCACTAGACTTTGTTTCCTCCCCATTTACAGATCCTTGCTGTACATACACCTCATATTATCAGGGTTATATGTTGACTGATAGTAAAAAGACAAACAAAGAAACCTCCAGGCTGTATCTGTATCTTTGACTCCCAATCCTAACACACTGACAGACCTAAAAAGAGAGACAAGATGTGTGGCTGTATCAGCCACAGGGATCTGCTTTAGCTGTAGCTAACTGATAATATGTCCTCCAGAAGCAATGTGAAAACACTGGAATGCAACTGTCAGCCTGCCTACTAGGATGGGATTGCCTGGGCTGTCTCACAGCCCCAGCAGATGCTGGGATGAAAGACAGTGTAGAACATTCCACGCTCTGTAGGGAATTCCTTCAACAGCCCCTGCAAAACAGCAACCTCCCCATTTGCACCATACAGGGAAGAACCCCCTGCATTGATATCCACCATGCAGAGCCTCAACCGGTCTTACAAAGAAGGCACCTCACCAGGACACAGCTTCAGAAGGTGAAGAGCAGATCATGGATCGCGGGATGAACTGGATGGTGTTTCCTGCCCTGTCCAGGACTCCTTCTGTTACTGAGACAGGGACTTCAGTTTAACTTGCTCTTTAAAACCCCCAACATGGGCTTTTCCTGCTCTTTCTCTCACAAACCCACTTCACTACATTGAGAAGGAGCAAACCTGGTTTTTGGCCTCCTTTAAATCCCCTTCATAGCAATTTAAGCCCTTTATTTTTTGTTCTGCCTCCAAAGCCTAGCAGAAAAATTTCTCTCCTCTTCCCTGCAGCCATTCTCCACACATTTCAAGTCTTCTGGCTGTCCTCAGGCGTCTGTAGACTAAACACTTCTCATTCCTTTGCTCTAGCCTCATAAATCCTTAACAAATTTCTCCCAATCCCCCTCACTAGACTTAGTCTGGTCACCCCCTTTTCCTGTGATCCTCTTCCAGGACTTGGCTTGTTATGAGAAGATTCATTTCCAGGAGAGACTTTTCCCTCCAGGTAACCCCAAGACCTAAAGAAATAATCAGTGTAACCCCAACTGAGGGACCAAAGGTGAACAGCGCCAAGTGAGGGGTACAGGAACGGAGCTGTTAGGAAGAGGGGAACAAGAGGCATTGCTTAAGAGAAGCTTGTATGTGAAAAGCAGCTTTTCCTTGATGTCTGCAATTGAATTTCTGGAATTTGCTGCTCAAAATCCCTTCTGGGGTTCAGGCACCTAATTCTGAATAGGGCCAAATGGCTCGGTTTTGTTTTAAGGTCTGGCTTCAGGATAGATAAACCTGAGTGGCAAGCAAATGGAAGAAGCCAGATCCACATTAGAAGGGCTCATTCCTCCTCCCTCACTGATGCTCCAGTACAAGCCAACAGGAAATGCAGAGGTCAGAGCAATCCCTGAGAGGAAAGAGAAGTCACCACACAAGGTCTGTCCCCCAGGAACCGCTTCTTGATTTATACAGGGATTGCTGAGCCATTGTGCAACCTTGTGTTAAGGTACCTGCATCCCAGCCTCCCAACTTAGCTTCAACTATCCCCACTGGTGGCTTACAGAGGCAGGCTTCCTCTTGCTCTCTTTTTCTCTGATTAAGCTGGGATGATGATGGGTGGGGAGGAAGTAAGGGCAGGTTTCAACTATGAATGATTGGCCAGAGAAGCTGTGGCTGCCCCATCCCTGGCAGTGCTCAAGGCCAGGTTGGACACAGGGGCTTGGAGCAAGCTGCTCCAGTGGAAGGGGTCCCTGCCTGTGGCAGGGGTTGGAGATGGATGAGCTTTAAGCTCCCTTCAACCAAACTGTGATTCTGTGATGTGAACACAGTACGGAGCAGTCAGGGGATGCAGCCCACACTGACTTACTATGACTGTAGGCACAGAAGCAGTTTAATCATTATTTTCTTCCAATTAGATCAAGCACTTTTGCCTTTAACAGCTTGCTGACCGACCCTGGACACAGAACCAGCAGGCCATCACCTTTTCCAAGCCATGCCAGCCTTCCTCCCTAAGGGCAAGGAAGCTGACACAGCACTTACACAGTACCCTGAACATCAGCCCTCCTCTCTCTCCTTTGCTCCAAGCACCACAGGGACTCCTTGCCATCACCACCTTGGCTTTGCGGATGCATTTTGCTACCAAAGATCACACTTCCAGATGGACAACGTCCCCTCGGCCCTGCCTGCTGTCCCCAGGGATCCCTACCCAGCTCCTGCACGTCTTCTTCTTGGGATTTCAGCTGTTACTTGGGATCAGAGTGGGGTTTTAGGGCCGGACTGATGCATGTGGTGGTCCCTGTGTCAGCAAAGACATGAGATTCCCAGTGCTGGGACCATGACAGGACCAGGCTGGGCCCAAGCTGGGGGGGGACAGCCCCCCAAAACCCCACCAGACACTGACACAGCAAGGCCAGGGCCTGGCAATCCACACCCAGGCTCCTTCTGGCACCTTGATGAGGAGCCCTGGTATTCCTAAGCCATGAAGGGGACCGGCCACCCCACCGGGCCCACAGAGCCCATCACCACAGACCCCACCACCACCCCAAATCCCTTCACAAACCGCTTCCACCTCCTGGAGACCCCCAGGCCACCGCTGCCGCTTCCTCCCCTCACAAACCCTGAAGCCGCTGGGGGACACCGTGCCCCGACCCCCGATCCCATCGCTGCCCCCGAAGCCTCTCCCCGTCCCCGCACCTGGCCAGCAGCTCCAGGAACACCACGTTGCTGCAGCAGCCGCCGAACACCAGCCCCACCGCCACAGCCGGGTGCATGGTGTTGCCTCAGGCAGCGAGGCAGCGGCCCGGACCGCCACCGCATCCCGCTCCCGGGCCGCGGCCCCGCTCCCGAGCCCGGCCCCGCTTCCTCCCGGCCGCGGGTAGTTCGGTCCCCGCCCGCTGCCCGTTCACCGACACCGCCGCTGCTGCAGGGCCGGGACTACAACTCCCAGCATCCCCCGCGGCGCCTCTTCTGCGCCTCCAGCCAGTGGCGCCACGCTGCGGGGTATGATGGGAGTTGTAGTTCCGTGGTGTCGGCGTGCAGTAATGGCGGCGGAGGACTCTGCGCTGGAGTGGCCGGAGGAGAAGGGAGGGGGGCAGCTCAAGCGCTGCTTCCCTGCTGAGAAACAGCCGCTAATTGCGGGTTTTGGGTTTAGATCATTAAATTATCGCTTTGATGTGCAATCGAGCTTGTCTGAGGCCTGTGGTGGAGCCTCCCTGGAGGTCCTCCCATGCGCTCAGGGCCATAGGCAAGCCCCGTATCAATGGCACCGTGGCGGAATCAGAAAACACGGGATAGTGAGGCAGCAAAACTGGGTCTGAAAAGCAGTTGTGTGCTTGGAAGGAGTCGAGGACGACACGGAGAGTGTGGGAAGGGGAGAAAGGAGGGAAAGGGTCATAAATGGTGGCACTGGGGTGGTTTGGGGGCTGTGTGGGTCCGACAGCACCAGAAGCAGCCCAATGCTTCACAGGGGGAGATGGAGGAAAACACAGCCCGTTTAGAGTGATGGGTGAGGGGTTTCTGCGCACATCAAGGGAAAGAGAAGGGCATGGGATGCTGGAGACAGAGGATTTGGGTGAGAGGATTACCGGTGTGGGGACAAACTGCACCCAGAGGCACCGATAGCATGTGTAATGATGTGTTGGTTAATTTGCTTTCATGGCACGGTACTTCAGCTTCTCTTGTCAAGGTGAAGATAACGCCCTGTCCATCATGGTAGAGACATGAATCGAAACACCACAACAACTCGAAGGATCCAGCCTTGACATGGATCTGGCGTGGACTTAACACAGGGCTTAATACAGTGTCTGTGGCACCTTCAGTTTTACTTTGTCCCTATTAGATTTTGTTGTTAGCCTGTTACTCCTTATCCCTGTTACCTAGAGAGTGATTTTGAATGGAGTTGGAGCAATTCATGCTTTCTGCTTTTACTGTAGCTACATATAAGTCAACGGTGAGCTATCTTCTAAGGTTGTATGGAGAGCCCTTTTAAGCACCTGCCAAAGCCCTCTGTGATCAAAAGAAGCCAAATTGATCAAAAAGTGGGATTTTCAGGCTGTAAATATTTCTTTTTGTTTTAAATAAATTTGTATCTGAATCAGACCCAAGTCTTTCTTTGAACACAAGTGTGAAATCCCGTGAGCACACTGCAAAGAACTATGGTCAGCCCAAACATGAAGCACTTCCTTTTATGATTTCAAGCTCTTTCAGGGAATGTGACAGCCTTGGCAGCTTCTCTGCTGCTAAAAGCAGCTAATGACAGGGGCAGAACTGCCAGGATTACCCATTTTTCAGCTCACAGAGAGAGTTTCTAGGCTCTTTGACCCCAAGCTGGTGATCCCAGCATTCCAGACTCCATACATGGGGGCTGGAAACTCAGGGTGGATGTAGCATGTGTCCTCAGGGCTTCCAGGAGCTGAAAACTTGGAAGCTAAAGCAATGACACCCTGGAATCCTTGGCTACCTTGTGTGCTTTGGCTGCAGATAGAACCACTGAGGTGTCCCTGGCCATGGCAGAGGTTGGAACTGGATGATCTTAAGTCCTTTCCAACCCAAACCATTCTGTGATTCTTGTTAAAAGCATCATAGGTCCAAGGGCTCTGGAGCCGCTGTTGTGATAGTTCCAGGAGTTTCAGCTTGGATATACCCTATAGGAGGATAGTCTGCCAGAAAATACAGCCTTGGGGGTCCAAGCATCTTGGAGACCCTGTTGGAACCCAGTAGTTGTGCTCTGTGTTTGGCAGAAGTTCATTTTTCCCTTATTTCACAAAGCATGTTGGTGCTTTCTGATCTCTCTCTCAGTAGAAATGCTTCCACTGCCTTCCTTGGTCTTCCCATTAGGTCCTTGTAAATGGTTTATATATTATTAAGAAGCACCATGGTTCATTAGCAGCAAACAAAGATGATGTCTCAGGCTCGCTGGCATGTTGTAACATCTCCAGGTTTTCCTGCTTCCACATCCTCAACTGCTGCACAGGTCAGAATGATCAATTCCTTTCTCTTCCCTTCACTAATAAGCTTTTGCTACCTTGGGTGCTCACTTCTTCGCCTTTATTCACTTGCTTTGTGCTTCAAAAGGAGGGGGGGAAAGGGCTGAAGTTGTTTTCCTGCCACAGTAAATGCGCCGCACCTTAGTTCCTAAATGCATTAAGCCACAGAACAAATTGCTTCTTTTGAACTGCTCCAGTGTAACAGTAAACCCCAAATGTCAGCTCATAAAGCATTTCCAGCTGGTCATTGTAGGCTGGCACCTCTGGGAGGGCAGTTTTGTCTGGGCTTGTGAGTACTTAACATCCTCTCTAATGTTACAGCTAGAGGTAGGTTCTGGGGAGGCATTGTCTGGCTGAGGGAAGGTCTCAGTCTGATGTGTTCATGGTCTAATTCTTATGGGATGGGGGCTTATATCACTGCAAAAGCCTCCAGGTCACCTCAGTGTGAGTACAGGGATGTAGCTGCCAGACTTGCCTTTTATCCTCGGAGTGAGTTGGTTTATCCTAGCTGTGATGCTGGACCTTGTTTGCAGGTGGGTGTATTCTTCACAAGTGATTCCGATCACAGATTAAAGATTAAAAGTATCATTATTCATTCCCATTAAAATAAAAATTAAATCCATTCCAAATTGGACATCAACTCCATGATATCAAAATGAATGACAAAGTAAGGTCAGAAAATAGAAAAAACATTAATACAGAATCATAGAACAGTTAGGGTTGGAAAGGACCTTAAGATCATCAAGTTCCAACCCCCCTGCCATGGGCAGGGACACCTCGCTCTAAACCATCTCACCCAAGGCCTTGTCCAGCCTGGCCTTGAACACTGCCAGGGATGGAGCATTCATGACTTCCTTGGGCAACCCATTCCAGTGCCTTACCACCCTTACAGTAAAGAACTTCTTCCTTATATCCAGTCTAAACTTCCCCTGTTTAAGTTTTAACCCATTACCCCTTGTCCTATCACTATAGTCCCTAATGAAGAGTCCATCCCCAGCATCCATATATATATATATAAAAAATAACCAGTTCAGAAGTAATTTAAAATCAGTTCACCTTCACTGTATCAAAAAGCAGACACCCAGCAGTGTGTCTCTGAGCATCCTCTGAGTAAGGGAGATTTCTTATCCCTGTCTCTCTCCTAGGAATGACAACTAACACTTGGCAGTGCAGCCAGGTTGTCTTGCATACCGTGAACAGACAGCAATGCTCTTGAGGCCATGTTCTTGCAGTCAGGATGCTCTAAGGGCACAGACATGATGAGGTTTGTAGGTTGAAATAATATAGCTGGAAAATTAAATAAGCTTTCAGCTATAGGACAAAAGCTTCACTTTCCTGCCCAGGGCTTATTTGTTTTCTAACAACAGCAGATGCTCTAATAGAAGATATTACTTCTACCTACAAACATCATCTTGCTTCTGCCAGGGTTATTTTGACTTTCTTCAGCGATGGCTCAGATAAAACAAAGCATGTTTTCACATCATGGAAACATGGCGGAGTCTGTTTCTGCCCAAAAAGCAGGCTGGCTGGTGGTGGTGTCTACCCTTAGACAAATCTATAGCACTTCAAGGTTTGAATAAGCCCTGGCAGCGTTTTGAGTTCCTGACTTCTAAAACGCAGTTCAAAGCAGACTGGGGACTCAGTCTGCTGAGTGAGGGGGGTTGTGTTGATTTACTGAATGCATCACAGAACCAGTTGGGTTGGAAAAGCCCTTTAAGCTCATCCAGCCCAACCGTTCCCAGCACTGCCAAGGCCACCACTGACCCATGGCACTGAGGCCTCGTCTCCACGCTGTGTGAACACTTGCAGGGACGGTGACTGCAGCCCTGCCCTGGGCAGCCTGTTCCAATGCCTGAGCACCCTCTGGGGCAGGAATTGTTCCTCAGCTCCATCTAAACCTGCCCTGGTGCAGCTTGAGGCCGTTTCCTCTTGTCCCATCCCTTGTTCCTTGGGAGCAGAGCCCAGCCCCTCCTGGCTCCATCCTCCTGTCAGGCAGTTGGAGGCAGCCATCAGGTCCCCCCTGAGCCTTCTCTTCTCCACACTGAACCCCCCAGGTCCCTCAGCCCTTCCCCATCACACTTGTGCTCCAGGCCCTGCACCAGCTCCGCTGCCCTTCTCTGGCCTCACTCCAGCATCTTCCTTCATCTCTGCCCTAGAACTGCATTGTGAGGGATCTTTCTCATGCCAGAACAGGGAATTCAGGAAGCCCAATTTCTTTAATAGTTGCCAGACAGTCAGGCCTCGATTCCCCAAAGAACCACAGATTTTTGGGCTTTGCTTTGGGACTAACTACAATGATGGGGAAAACCAAACAGAGCTGTAAGCTCCTGCATTAAAAGTTCTTATGTTTCGTTTCCAGACAGACATTTTTGAGCCCGTTTGGTGTGGCAAAATCTGACAGAACACCAGGGACTTTGACATTCTGACACGGGTAAACGCTTGTTTCTCAAAGCTGAGCTTTCCCAGAAAGGCTTTCTTGCTCTCTTGTTTTCTAAAGCACGGCTTTTTCGGAGCAGTAAAACCAGTCATGTTCTTAATGCGTGGGAAGCAAATCAATCAAACCAATCTTGGCTATTTTCACAATCAATACCCACGTGATGCATGCCTGGAAAAGGCAGGGGTTTCTAACATAACACCGATGTGCAGCGGGTTTCTATAGTGCCTGGTCCATGGAGGATGGGAATCTGTCACAGAGCAGTTCCTGACCCTTGGCTCAGCTCGAAACTGCTTGTACTTTTAGTGCTGCAAATGCCTTTTCAAATCATGGGGTATCAGTGGTGGTGGTGCTGTCACACAGGTATTGTGTGGCTATCTCCAAAGTGGATCTGCTAATGTTTCAGTTAAGTGTCTCAGAGACAGTGAATTCTGCAGCCAGGGCAGACTGTGACAGATGCAAACAGAGCAAGTTAATGAAATGCCTCATTTCTACTGCATCAAATGCATTATTTCACCATAGA